TGTTGCACAATACACCATGCCAGGAACACCGTAACAAAATGTTGTGGCATAAATAAGGAATCGTACTCTTATGGACATGGTAAGAAGTATGCTTAGTACCTCCAATCTTCCATTAAAGTTTTGGAGTGAGGCATTAAAGATAGCAGTATATTTCTTAAATCGGGTTCCATCAAAGGCAGTTCCAAAAACTCCTTTTGAATTATGGGTGGGTTGGAAACCTAGTTTAAGGCAGTTACACATTTGGGGTTGTCCCGCAGAAGTAAAGGTTTATAATCCAAATGTTAAGAAATTGGACCCGAAAACTGTTAGTGGATATTTCATTGGTTATCCAATGAATTCTAAAGGGTTCAAATTCTTTTGTCCTTCTCACGCACCTATGATTGTCGAAGCTAGAAACGCAAAATTTCTTGAAGATCTTGAATTCAGTGGGAGTGACATTCCTCGTAAAGTACAGTTTGAGGAAATTAAGGAACCGAGTTCATCTTTTCAAGATAATCAATTGATTATTGTTCAAAATGATCATTCAGTTAATTTAGAAGATCAATTGACTCAAGATGAACAAATTCCTAATCAGTCGCATCATGAAGATTCAACTAATAATGATACTGTTGTCCAAAATCAAGATATTATGGATGAAACAGTTGAATTAAGAAGATCTTCAAGAGTAAGGAAACCAGCGATTTCTAATGATTATATGGTATACCTTCAAGATACTGATTTTGATGGTCAGTTAAATGAAGATCCCACTTCATTTTCACAAGCCATGGATGGAGAAAAATCCCTCTTTTGGTATAATGCCATGAAAGAAGAAATGGAATCAATGGCCAAAAACCAAGTTTGGGCACTCGTCGAATTACCACCAGAAGCAACAACCATTGGTTGTAAATGGGTTTATAAGACCAAAAGATATGCTTATGGTAATATCGAACGATATAAAGCAAGATTGGTGGCCAAGGGTTTCACACAAAAGGAAGGCATTGATTATAATGAAACATTTTCTCCAGTTTCAAAGAAAGATTCATTAAGAATCATCATGGCATTAATAGCTCATTTTGATACGGAGTTACATCAAATGGATGTGAAAACAGCCTTCTTAAATGGAGATCTTGATGAGGAGGTATACATGAAACAGCCAGAAGGTTTCTGTAATGAGGATAAGCTAGTATGCAAGTTGAATAAATCCATTTATAGACTTAAGCAAGCATCCCGTCAGTGGTACACAAAGTTTCATAATGTTATTATTTCATTTGTTTTCATTGAGAATATTGTGGACCAATGTGTTTATCTTAAAACCAGTGGGAGCAAGTTTATCTTCTTAATTCTTTATGTGGATGATATTTTACTTGCAAGAAGTGATTTGGGTCTACTTCATGACACCAAAAGATTTCTTTCTCAAAATTTTGAGATGAAGGATATGGGTGAAGCCTCTTATGTCATTGGCATAAAGATTCATAGAGATAGATCTAGAAGGTTTTTAGGTTTATCTCAAAAGACTTACATCGAAAAGATTTTGGAAAGTTTTCGAATGCAAAATTGTTCACTATCACCAGCTCCTATTGTGAAAGGAGATAAATTCAGTTTGGAACAATGTCCAAATAACTCATTGGAGTTCAAGGAGATGATTAAAATACCTTATGCTTCAGCGGTGGGGAAACTCATGTATGCTCAAGTTTGTACCAGGCCTGACATAGGGTATGCAGTAGGAATGTTGGGTAGATATCAAAGTAACCCAGGCCTTGAACATTGGAAAGGTGCCAAGAAAGGTATGCGTTATTTACAAGGAACCAATGATTACATGCTTACATACAAACACTCTGATCATTTGGAGGTGATTGGGTATACAGACTCTGATTTTGGTGGATGTAAAGATTCTAAGAATTCTACTTCTGCATATATATTTATGCTTGCTAATGGTGCTTTATCTTGGAAAAGCACTAAGCAAAATATAATAGCAACATCCATAATGGAAGCAGAATTCATTGCGTGTTATGAGGCTACATCACAAGCTTTATGGTTGAGAAACTTTATATCTGGTTTAAGAGTTATCGACTCTATTGCAAGTCCATTAAAGATTTATTGTGATAACTCAGCTGCTGTTTTCTTCTCAAAGAATAACAAAAGTAGTAGTCGCAGCAAACATATAGATATAAAATATCTTTCAGTTTGAGGTCATGTTAAAGAGCAAAATGTGGATATCCAACACATCGATACAGAATTAATGGTCGCCGATCCCATGACCAAAGGATTGCCGTTTAAAGTATTTAAGGATCATGTGGATCGTATGGGGCTAGTTAGTTCATTTGATGTATAAGTTAACTTTTACATTTGTTTCTATGACCTTATTCAGATATTTTGACATATATTGTTTATCTATTACATTTTTTGTGCACATAAAGTTAAATGTCAAAATAGAGTGGACCACGAATGACTTATAGGAAGTTCATTCATAAATTTAAGAAACTCATAAAGTACTTATATAAAATATCATGCATTGTAATAGATGGAAAGGAGTGTTCGATTTAAAGGATATGACCGCAATCATTCATGTATTGAGCTTTTATGTAAGTAATGCTTGCTATAACTCATATTATGGCCATATTCGGATTAATCACCTATATAGTATTTTTCCAAATTGCGGCATGAGGCCAAGTTGGAGAATGTAAGACTTGATGTGGCCACATGCCACAATTATGCAGTTCAAGGTGGTTTAAAGGAGTTATTAACTGCCTCTTTTGATCCTTGATGGGAAGTTAAAGGCAGTTGATGGGAGTTACTTGGTCCCTAGCCTAGCCATATATAAAGATATCATCTTCTCCATCAAAGCGATATCACGAAAATATAAAAGAAAGAAAAGATTCTGGAGGCATAGGCTAGAAGACATCTCTCAAATATTCACTCACAAATCATTCAATACACTTGAACAATATGACTGGAGGTAAGTGATTAAATTCCGCATTATATTACATACGTAATATTCCTCATAAATTGTTTAAAGAAAGCTCTAGTTCAGCGAGATCCATTCAAAGATCGAATTCAGAATTGATCCATCCAGACTATTGTTGCTTAAATAAAGGGTTCAGGAATGTTCCCATTCAGTTGCTTACTGCTGAGATTGATATCCATCGACCATCTCCACCTCCTCCTCCTCCACCTCCGGCATGTGCCCTTCAAACAACGCCACATGTCCAAACAACTTAACCTTCCTAGAAAAACTTGTCCCACATGAACACTTCGACCTACTCTCCCCACAATGCTTGTAATTATTATATTTATAATTTTATGTTAAATATGGAGATTAGCGCGCCTTTTAATGGAATTAATAATTATTTGTTTTCAAAATTATAAATATGTGTGAAGATTTAGCTCTTAAACTGGATTTACGAAACAAACAAGCCAACTGATTTAATATAAGATCAAACTAAGTAAATTTTCAAACTCAAGGCCAAGGAGAGATGAAAATTTTCAAACCACTTTAAAAACATTGTCTTAATTAGTTGTTGTTGGGATATTGTTAGGGCAAAAAATTGTCATGGGCTTGATGAGGCCCAATAACGAAATAAACATGTCATGGTCCAAGGCTTCAGTCTAATCTCGATTGGGCCTACGCTTAAAATCATCTTGTGAACTGCCTACTTTATGAGTTGGGTTATCCTACAAGTTAAGCTGAACTGGGTTCCAACCCATTAGCCTACAACAGTTCATAAATAGGAAATCAGAATCATATTTTATTTTCTTTTATGCTGAGATTTTGAACTTTACTCAAACTAGTAAACTTATTCTGATAAAGACAAGAAATCTTATTTCTTTCCTGATAGTGACTATCTCCCAAAGTAAGACTCAATGTCCTACTAAAATTTCAACCCCTTGGGTTCACTATATAAACAGAGGCTTGCCCTCTCATAAGGGAGAATATGATATAGTCAATCTACACTATTCAAAACCATCTATTTGCTTATAAAGTTCTTGTTCCCAAGAACCCGACGCCTCCGTCATAGTCCTAACCTCCGACAAGACTCCTGATAATCCTTCTTCTCTTTAATTCTTATCAAATAATCTCTTTCAACCTTACTTACTTGAGCATCGGAGTGTCTATGGCAAACCCCACCCGGTGTTTTCCATGCCGTAAGCTTTACACTTGTCCTTTTATATGTGCATGTCTAGTGGATTGTCAATGGCCTTAACCTCAGGGGATCAGACCCTATTTTTATAACGGTAGATTTTTTGCATCTACAGATATATGTAGATGCCTTGCCGACTTTGGTCTTGTTTATAAGTGTCATGACTTTTGATCATTAAAAACTTATCGAAATTTTCAATCATTTTAATTAAAAGTGTGTATATTTATAATATCTAATGTAATACTGCTTCAAGTGTATATTGTTATACATTCCATTGTATCTTTGAACAATGTAACACTACTTCAAGTTCAAGATACATATTATGATGTTGAAACAATAACAAAGATGACCAAAAACGTAGAAAACAAATGATACAATAACCACCACTTAATTGTATCAATATTTTGATATTGGATTGTATAAAATAACTTTTGGTTTTCTCAATAATTCATTCAAAAAATAACCAAAACTACATTCCTAGGGCTAATACATCCCTAAAACCCTAATAAAAAAAATTGAAAGGAAAAGAAAATTAAACAACATTGCAAAAAAAAAAATTCCAAAAGGTCTAGAAACTTACAAAAGCACCCCTAAAAAATAGAAAACGTCCCTTAAAACGACATCAAAAGGATAAAAAATGATGATTATCATGAAATCATGAGTTTTGTTCGTTTGGCTGTTTCAAAGTACTCTGCAAAAATCATCGCATTCGGCCATCGTCGACACTATTCATTCGGTGTGGCTCTGCATCATATTATGAACTATATAATCAGATAATTATACATAACATCATTATTTATCAGGAAGAAAAATAAAAATAAAAATAAAAAGATTTGGAAATTCACCTGGTTGCATTTATTATTAAATAAATTCTTTTTTCTTTTAAGCCTTCTCTTTCTCGATGATTCTTACTAACCTTTTTGGCTTTCCTGTTGAAAACACAATATATCCAATAGAAAAGCCAATACCCAATCCACATCCATAACCCATAAGAATGATGTGCCAATCAACCCAACTTAAGATATTGTCTCGGTCATGGGAGATCATTCCGTCTGGTTTCTGTCCATCTCCATTGCTACATTTCTTTGACAAGGGAAATCCACACAACCCCCAATTTCCACTATATGAATCATTTGAAAAGGTAGAAAAGTGGTTATCTTGAGGTATAAGTCCCACAAGTTGGTTTTCCGATAGGTTTAAAACCTGAAGGAAATTTAAATTTGTCAACTGCCATGGAATTTCTCCAGCAAGCTTATTTACAGAGAGGTCTAAGGATTCAAGGTTTGTTAAATTTCCAAGCAATGATGGGATACAACCCATCAAATTATTTCGAGAAAGATTAAGGAGCCGAAGTGCTTGGAAGTTTCCAATAAATTTTGGAATGTCTCCATTGAAGTTATTGTTTGAAAAATCAATGGTAGTGAAAGTAGTAAGAATTTTCTGTAATTGAATCTCAGACCCTTTTAACGTCACCACGACCGAGTCTTGATAATATTTTTCCCCCATATATTCCAGATGCTGCTCAGCTTCATCAATGCTCATCATAGCTTTCATATTCGCCAAAGACCTTACCGGCAAAGAACCAGTAAAATTGTTGTTTGAAAGATCAAAGATTCTCAACTTGCTAAATGAATGGTTTACCTTGCCAGAACTCCATACATCACCATAAAATTTATTGGAACGAAGAACAAGAACCTGTAACTTCGGAAGATTTTCCAGCCAATGTGGAAAGATGTCGTTTATCTTGTTATTTCCAAGATCTAAAACTTCAAGCATAGTACAATTTAGCAAAGATCGAGAGACTGATCCTTCCAAGGCATTGTCGTTGAAGTTAAGGGTCCTGAAATTATTGCCCTTTCCGAATGTTTCAGGAATGGGACCATAAAACCTATTTTTCCGTAGGTCCATCACATGAAGACGGCTAAATTTTCCCATGCATTTTGGAATGGTGCCACTCAAGTTGTTACTGGAAAGATCAAGAATTTCGAGGATTTTTAAATTGCAAATCACTCGAGGAATCTCTCCAGAAAAACTATTGTTTGACATAAAAATGAATTTCATGAAAGGTGGTGGAACAGGAAGTGGTCCCTTAAACAAATTAGAACGCAAGTCGAGAAACTGAAGATTTTTCCAGGGAAGATGGTCTATGCCTGTCAAGAAGTTCTGATAAAGATGCAGAAATCTCAGAGTATTCTTCCCAGTGTACCATATCCAGTTGGGAACCTGGCCATGAATTTTGTTTTTAGAAAGGTCAAGGTGAATCAACTGGTCTTGTGTTCTTAATATATCTGGGAACTCAGTTACGTTGCAGGCAGATAAAAACAGATACCGAAGCTTGGGAAAAGAAGAGTTGGCTATGGTTGTGGTGTTCAGTGAGAAACTGTTGTCAGAAAGATCAAGCAATCGGAGGTTTTTAAGCTTTGAAAACGTGTTAAGCTCTACAACTCCGCTTAAATTGTTTAAAGAAAGCTCAAGTTCTGTGAGATGAGGAAGTTCAAAGATTGAACTCGGAATTGATCCATCAAGACTATTGTTCCTCAAGTAAAGGGTTTGCAATGAATTGCTTTGAAATTCAGGAATGTTCCCATTCAGCTGGTTATTGCTGAGATTGATATCCTGTAACAATGGTAAAGTAGATAGCCAAGAGGGTATTGTCCCATTAAGTGAGTTCCCATGTAAATAAATAAAGGCCAAATTTCGAACCTCACTTACGTGAGAAGGAATTGGACCAACCAACCGATTGTTTGTGCAGGATAAAAAAGAAAGTTGTGATAAGTTGGTAAAAATATTCGGAATTTCGCCACTGAAATTATTGGATGAAAGATCTAAATGATGAAGTTGAGGGAGGTTTGAAAGAGATGACGGAATGTGACCACTAAAATGGTTATCTGAGAGGTCCAAAACTGTGAGTTCTGTAAGGTTACCGAGTTGTATAGGAACTGACCTCATCAAACTGCAGTTGTGGAGACTCAGTTGCCTCAAGGATCTCAGGCCACCAATAGAATCCGGTAATTCTTCTGACAAAATCATGCCAGACATATACAAAAACCTGAGGGGACTGCTCCAATTACCCTTTGGAAATGCAACTGTAAGCCTGAAGTTATCCCATAAACTGAGAAACTGTAAGTTTGGTAGGCGAAAAATATTATCCGGGATGCTCCCTTTTAAACCACAGTAATTGAGACTCAGAGATGTCAAAAAAGAAGATAGATTCATCAAAGAGCCAGGTAGGATGATAGTGGACATATCGACCGAATCAAGAAAGAGTTCTTTTAATTTGGTAACATTTTGAACTAGCCCTTCCAAAACTGTTGTTTCAAGTCTCAGAGCTTGATTCCCAGAGAGGTCAAGTGAAACTAATTTGGACAAGTGTGAGATTTCATATGGAATTTGACCACTGAAGTTTGAGCTAGAGAGATTAAGAGTTGTCAATTTCGGAAATCGATTAATGTCAGAAAGGATTTGAGAGCGATCAAAATCATTGAAAGAGAGGTTGAGAATTTGAATGTGAGGAAGGGAGAAGAGGGTGTTGTTGGAAGGGATTATGCCATGAAGCCAGCTGCAACTAAGGTCGAGGCCAATTACATGACCCGTCACATTGTTACATGTGACTCCATCCCATGAGCAACAATTACTATCCTCTATCCAAGATCTCATTTTTGGATAAGAAGACAACCTTCCATCACAATGGGAAGAAGAACGGTATTCCAAGGAAAAGAGTTGCTTAAACTGAAGCAATGCAGAACTCTGTTCATGAGAACACAATTTTGCACAACTTACAGAATGCAATAGCAATAAGTGGAAGCAGAAAACTTGATGCCAAACCAACCATCTCATTTTTTAGGAAAGGAACAAATATGACTACAAAGAGGAGGAAAGATATGATGGCAATTAGTGATCGAGATCAGTTATATTTATATTATAAATGAATCAAAATCTAGTCTTGGTCATAAAGTGAAGAACACTTCATCACTATGTAACTTAACATCCAGGTCCTGCTGACCGTAGACTTCTCACGACAGAGATCACTATCACTGAACAAGCACAATCAACTGCATGAATCAAGGAGTTGAAACATAGACAGGCTCAAAAAAAGAGATTGAAGAATTTTTTCTCAGCTAGTGATGGTTAATTAATCTTGAGCTTATAGTTTACACATGCTATAGGATGATACATTACTTGGAATCAAAGGCGAAGCTAATTAAAGACCAGATGGACTCATGTCCCTATAGGATTTTGAAAAGAAAAAAAATCAAACACGTTATCCGTAAAATACTCTAAACAAACAAGAGTCACAAATCAAAGAACGGAAATTTTTCATATTTTCATATCAACCAGGACTGAGTTTAAAGACTGACTCCAACTACATTTCAAAGTCCAAATACATATCATGAGTACTTTAAACTCCAGGATTGGAAAAACAATAGAACTTGTATGCTGTTTTTATAGATTTAATGTTGGGGATTTTCTTACTAACCGAACTGTTCCCACCAACGAGGCGACATTATTGATTTGCAGATTCCTTCCACATTCAATAAGCAGTAGTCTCTCTTTTGCCAGCTTGTATGTCTTCTACTTTGTGAACCAATACTTTATTCTCTTATATAAATTATCAGAACTTCTCTGTCAAAACAAGTTTAAAATTGTCCCAACAGTAAAATTAACAAGAGATCTCACAACCATCTGATAATTCCTATAAACTAAATAAAAGAATACTCAATAGATGCTCCACAGTGATGGATTTATTTGATGTCTTTTATTTGTTAACATTTGACAAGATATCATGGTTTAGAGAGGGGAAGCAAATCAAAATCTTGCTAAAACCCATCTTAATCCATTTCCCTGGAGATTTTGAGTAGTCCCATTACAAATAAATAAGAAACTAAACTGTCATTAAACAAAAAGTGTTCTGATATTGCTCATATCAACTACATCAGCTCAAAATCTTCCAAAATCATCGGGATTTAGCTTCAAGAAAGAATATTTAGCTAACAATCATAAATCATCTCATAAACCTGACGGCCTTAATCACATGATATATTATTGATAAACAAAACTACCCACTCTTAGCTAGTAAGAGCTTCTTACAATAACCTTCAAAAACCTTTATCCTCCTTGAATTTAACAGTTGGTCAAATATCTCCGATTTGCTACTTCTCATTTAGTAAAATATTAGTCATTTTTACAGGACTAGCCATAGAATGTATTAGAAGGATTATCATTATAGCAAGAGAAGCATAATAAGACATTGAAACACTTAAATCAAACTTACATAAGATTCAATACAACGGTTGCCAGAAGAAAGAAGCCACATATCCGTGGAAGCTTAGCTACCTCTACTAGTGATGGCAATGGGCCAGGCTTGGATCGGGTACCCCTTGGCCCAGGCCTAAGCCTGACCTCATGACAAAGGCTCAAGCCTGGTCTAGGCCCGTTACGAGTATGACAAATAAAATTCAAGTCTGGCCTAACAGGTATTTTGTAACCTTAGGCCTGCCCTAAGCATGTCCATTTTTATAATGTGAATTTTTAAATATTAATAAATTTTAATTTTTTTTATATTTTTAATTCTAGAAATGGTTTTTAAATATTAATTTATTTTTGAATACTTACCAAATGGGATGAGATTAGGGTTCGGGAAAATGGGTATACATATGTAGTATAACTATACAATTAAATATATAGTATAAGAGTAATTTAGTAAAATTAATATTAAAATTGTCTGATGGGGTCTAAAGACATACTCAAGCTCAACCTGTATCTGAGGTTGGGCTTTAAAATTAAGCTCAGGCCCAAGCCCACAAACATCAGATAAAGCCTGACCTTTTCGGGACGAGCCGAGCCAAGTACCTAGAAATATCATCTCTAACCTCTACTCCACGCAACATCTAACAAGGTCGTTGGTAAAATTTAAATTAAAATGTGCGGAAGATCCAATTTTGGAACTCATAATTGGTAGAAAATGCTGCCTTCGGAAGTGGTTATTTATGAATAAATTATTTTTCTAAATGGATATTTTGCAAATGGTTATTTTTTTAATTTTTTGGTAAATAATTAATTCTACAAATGGTAGAAATGGTTATTTTTTCAAATAATTCTCTGAAAAATGGTATAGTTTTTATTAAAAAAAAAAACATTAAGGTTTTGCCAAAAAAATAAAAAATAAAAATTTCAATAATGGTTATTTTTGCAAATTGTCATTTTACAAAATTGCTATTATTGAAAATGATCAAATATAAAAGTGACTACTTTTCAAATGGTTACTTTTGCAAATTATCCTTTCTGAAAATGGTTAGTTCAACAAACTTTCGTGTCTCCTCCAATGGCTTCTCTCGCAAATGTCAATTGTATCTCCGCTTCTATTCAATGGTTCAATGGCAGCGAGTCGATAAGAATCAAATAATTACCCAGAAGTAACGATTTTAAGGCGTCATTTGCATAAATAGCCATATTTAAAAATGGCGGCATTTGTGGCAGTGTGGAGTGAGCTCAGTGAGGCAGTGGGCGTATTTTTGTGTTTGTCGTAGACACACAATCGTGCTTAGAAGCCAGTATATTGTCGATTCTGTAATTTCGGAAAGATATGGCTATTTTATATACGGTTTTGTAAGCTTGTTAATTTTGATAAATTGCTTGTGGAATGATAGAGGCCTGTTAAATATTTGTTGACGCTTAATTTGTTTATTTAATTAATGCGTTTATCTAACTCAATTATGTTGGCTGTTTATAGACTCTGCGCATAGAGAATGTTATCAAGACAGAGTGATCTTTGCATCTGGGCTTCAATGAGGTTTCATTCTGATATTATTAGTTTCCAGCATTTAGGATCAGATTATTATGGATTTGTAGTTGATCTGTAGCTTTTAAATTATTTTTTGTCTTTGCCTTATAGTTATTTTTATGTATGTTCTAAATGATAACTCTATTCTTTATATTGTTTGTTAATTTTTCAGTTTTTAATGAAATGAAAAACACAGATGAACACAGTTTAATTGTTAGACTTTGCATATACTTGGTTTAGTCTATTGCATGAAAAAGGCTTTAGAGAGGTTTACTTAGTTATATCAATGGCCTTGTTAGATGTGTGGAATAGAGTTGGCTAAGCTTCTGCGGATATTTGTCTCAACTCAATTAGTTTTTCAATTTAGCCACTGGAGATTTCTTACCAAAAGATTGTATTATGATTATGAATGATCTTTTCTTTGTGATTTTACAGTTATGGATAGCAGTCTGCGTCGGCTCCAAGCAACCACCAGTTGTTCTTGGTTGAGCAGCATGAGAAACTTCTGTTTCAATTGAGGCACTGCCACTGGTATTCTCAAAGGTTATGCAGGACTGAGTGCTGCTGTATTTACTGAAACCTATAACATGCTGTTCAATAATTCATTTCCAAGCTATTGCTGTTCCTTGCACTTGGGGTCCCTATTCTATGTTTGATGATGTTGTGCTTTGTCAGAGCATGGACACTTTGCTTTCGGCCTAGTAGCTAGTTTTGTGCTTGGCTTCTTTCTTCTAACAATCGTGGTATTGGATCATATGTTTCATTTAAGTACCTTAATGTCTTATGTTTCTCTTGTTGTAATGGTTATCCTTCTCATGCCTCCTCTGCCTATTCCTGTAAATATGGACATTTTACCAAATCAAAGATACTTGACCAACTGTTCAGGTCAAAGAGGAGGTAATGGAGACAAAACATTTGGGATAGTATTTTTTATTAGCAGATCCTTTTTACATTCACTAAGTGGCAGTCTCTCTTTTGCCTGATTGTATCTATTCTGCTTTTTGAACCAATACTTTATTCTAAATTTTTACCCTCTTGTGGTGCCTCCAGATTCCATAACCCTCAGATTTAGGATAATTTTATTTTCTATAGTCCAAATATGACTTGGTGCATTTGTCACTTCCTATGAGAAGACAAAAAATTCATATGCATTTATGGTTCAAAACCTGTCATCATCAGGTAAATTATCATCCCTTCTCAGTCAAAACATGTAGAATTTTAAAGCATTGGAATGTAGAGAGAACTATTGGAAACATCCATTTGATAATTCCTATGCTCACAAGTCTACTATATTCATTTATATTTCCCACTTGGTTAACATTGAAGTGATCATTTTTTTACATTAACTTAGTACTTTACACCAATCACAAAGCAAAACCATCTAAATGATTGTGAACATCTCAATGCAACAATGATATTCTTATCTTGACAAGAGGAGAATTAAAGCTTCTTTTATTGAGGTTGGTATCTAGCGTTAAGCATTGATTTCAAATATGGCTCAGGTTTCTGTGCCTAATAATCTTAGATGTTCGCCAAAACCTCCAGTATCTACTGATCTGTCCCTAATTGAAGAGGGCAAAGCCAGTCCTTCAGTAGCCTCTACCATTACTGTTACTACTGTTTCTCCCACAAATGCTCATAAGGTGAGAACTTCTTGCTATGCACATTTTGGTTCTCACGTGAAATTACTCTCAGGTACATATAACTAAGTTGTTGTTTTTGTCCATTGTTTAATGCTCAGATAATTGCAGAGCTTGTGGGAACATTTGTAATTATGTTTGTAGGATGTGCCTCCTGGATGATTGACCAAAGATACCACATTACCCTGGTGGGTGTTGCAGTAGCGTGGGGCTTGGTTCTGATGGTTATGATATATACACTTGGCCATGTCTCGGGTGCCCATTTCAATCCTGCTGTTACTTTTGCTTTTGCTGCATCTGCAAAATTTCCATGGAGACAGGTACTCATACTTTAGGATAAGTTGTAATGTAATTGAGTAAGATTGATCTTTTGCAGTGCATAAAATCAAGTTTAGTTACAAACTTGAGGTATGATTCCTAGAACTTTGCTTTTCAGGTACCAGTATATGTTGCATTACAATTGGCAGGCTCAACATTGGCAGTACTAACACTAGCTATGTTGTTCCGTGACCAAATAAACATAGGTGTGACAGTGACTCGATATTTAAGGCCAACAACTCATTGTGAAGCTTTTGCTTGGGAGTTCATTCTTTCATTCATTTTAATGCTCACAATCTGTGGAGTAGCAGCTGATAGCAGAGCAGTATGACACTAATTAATTCTTCTTCTATAGCATTATTTATTTTCCTAACATTTGTTACTTCAATTTCTAACTAATTTATTAATCAAAAAACAGATCAATGAGCTCTCCGGAGTCACAGTTGGAGCCACAATGTTGTTTGATGTCCTAATAGCGGGGTAATTTATTTAACTTTGACTTCAATCGTTTACTTATTTGCATAGAACATTTTAAAAGATGTAGCATATTAACAAAGTATCGTTATCACGCAAATAAATTTGGTTTGCAGGAGCATAACCGGAGCTTCAATGAACCCTGCAAGAAGCATAGGTCCTGCCCTTGTTTCTGGACAGCTTCATTCCCTTTGGCTTTACATTTTGGCTCCTATTCTTGGAACTACAACTGCTTCTTCAATTTACTGTCTTGTATGGCTTCCCTTGCCTGAGAAATTTGATGACCGGAATATCAAAGAGTAATATAGTCGTGACTGCGCTGGAGACAGACCCAAGTATTAATTTTGGACCCCTTTTGTTTTTACTATAAATCTCATCTGATATCAGGTATATTTATTGAACATTCATTATATGTTTAATTTTAAGGCAATCTTTTTGGCTTTGCAACTTCTCCAGGCATTAATGTATTGGAGCTAATGCACTATTTACATAATATCTATTAGAAAAAGTCTTTAATGAGACGAAGGTGCATCCATTCAACCATAAGTCATAGCACACGTGTATATGGTAGGTCGTGGTTATATGCTTGTCGCATTGAAGAATTTTTGCATCTAGATATAGAAAAATGTTCAGGGGCTAGGATTGAGATGATGGTTCCAAATGAAGCCCACTATATTGGACTAAGTGTTAGGTTAAGTAGTAGTAATTAGAGCCCCAACAACTATAATCTCAAAGACCATATAATAAAAAGATTCAGAAGATAGCTTTGCCTACTAAAAACTCATTGATAGTATTATTATATCCATATATTAATTGGATTGGAATAAAGATTAAATAAATTGCAAGGCTAGCAATTTGCCACTTAGTGTCCATAGAACTTGGATTAAAAACACATAATCAAGTAATAGGAATCACTAATCATAATTACATCTTAATCAAATTAAAGATGACTTGTTGGAGTCCTGACTTGCCCCCATTAGAAAATTATAGGGCAAGACAATGAGAGTGAGAGAGATTGATTTTGAATTTTGATGAAACAATTATTGAACATGCCTTTTTTCATTTAATTTAATTAATTATTTAATACCCACTAGCTATTACCCATCAATTCTTCAACCTTACTACCAACTCCATACCTTTTTTTAAGCTCACTTGATACCCCTTTACTCAACTATATACTATATAATATTCTCCCTTTTTTTTTTTTTTTTTTTTTAAGTTAATCTTTTTATATGATATTGATTGGTCAATATTTTTTATATGATATTAAATTGCATACATTCATGATAGGAACATTGAGTTTTAGTCATCAATATACTTGGATTGTTTAAGCTTTGTTCTATCTTTGAGATTTCTATGAAACCAAGCTGCAGATTAACAAACGTTTACTCTTTTGACTTAGCAAGATTTAATCGAGTAAACCATCAACTCAGTGTCAAATCTCACTGGGAACATGCATATATTATCATGTGTTAACCATATATTAAAAATTAAATTAAATAAGTTTGTGATTCCTAAATTGCCACACTGCAAAGAGACAAGTTCTCTTACAGCTGGAAGAAACCAATGACATATATAATAAATTGTTAATTGAAAATTATGCATGCAAAAGTCTCTAGCCAAAGTCTAAACCTCTCTATGATTTTTGTACTCTTTTATAGTATTCAGTATATTAGTATATAATAATAAGTAGAAAATGGAATCAATATAAAGGTTTGCAGCTAGATGGGTTTGGTTTATAGTTAAAAATGAACTCAATGGATTAGCTCATTTCCCATTGTTAATTATGATCATAATCGCTTTGTGTCTTTGTCCGAGGTCTTTTTGTATATATCCGTAGAGTAATATTAATATATAACATCAAAATTTTTGTTACTTGTATATAGGATTAGGTAGTAAACTTTAGCCTAAATTTTTTAAATTAAGTGTGACTTGTGAAGATGATGATTTATATAATATAATTAAAAGATTTTACATGTTGGAGGTTTGACAAATGAAGCATTACCGTTTTGACTTTTAATCAAGTCCTAATCTTTCCACAATATTGTTTACTAAACAGGACTTAATACACCACTCTCTGCTGAGTATTTCCCATTAGTATAAGCATTACACGCCAACTAATCTCTTACTTTTCAAGACACATCTTAATTTGAATATTAATATGTATTAGTGAGGTAAATTTAACTTAATTTGAAGATTAGTGTTACATTACAGTCAATCCCTTGAAAGAAAAGGAACTTAATCCACCTGCTCACCAAGAAATTTAACAATAATCCCATTGAGTTTCTTTACTTTACCTCAATTATAGTTTTACAGCGTCAATTCTTACTTCTTATCCAACCTTTTTTTTTTTTTTTTTTTAATGATCGGAGGTGTCTGGGCCAGTTTATGTATACCTCAACTAATTCTCCGAACCTCGAAACTACTAATAAAGTAAGAGCTTCAATGACTACCCCTATTAACAATTGAGAAAAGATTTTAACTCAGAATCTTTTGAGTAATATATCTAAGAGTTTCTATCCAACCACTCGACTTTCTTATTTATCTATACTATTGCTAATTGATACATGTTTTTCTTTCGTAGATTTAAATGTGGTCAATTATATACAGCATCTAATTTTATAATGTTTTCTTGAGATAAATGTGTAGAACCTTCTTCATTGAAGGTTGAAATTAAACCACCATTTCTTTTCTTCTTTTTGATTACAGTTTGAAAATGTTATTATCCTAAGAACAAAAAAAATAAAAATAAAAATGGTAATTAAATGAATTAATGATGATAAAAGTCAAATATTTCATAATCGATATATGTCATAAATCTAACTTAGTTGGGAAAGCTTCCATATTTAGTTGCCATCCCCNCATGTTTTTCTTTCGTAGATTCAAATGTGGTCAATTATATACAGCATCTAATTTTATAATGTTTTCTTGAGATAAATGTGTAGAAGCTTCTTCATTGAAGGTTGAAATTAAACCACCATTTCTTTTCTTCTTTTTGGTTACAGTTTGAAAATGTTATTATCCTAAGAACAAAAAAAATAAAAATAAAAATGGTAATTAAATGAATTAATGATGATAAAAGTCAAATATTTCATAATCGATATATGTCATAAATCTAACTTAGTTGGGAAAGCTTCCATATTTAGTTGCCATCCCCTTACACATCACTACCTGCCAGTTGATTTTAAGAGATGAACACATCAAAATATCTTATTTTATTGTAGCTGATACCTCTTCCTGTTCATTCTCGTTCACTGAATCTGAGAACTCTAAACGTACGATGATATATGCTGACAAATTTCGACTTTACACCATTGCAAGAGGAAGATAATACTGGTAAATATATTTAAGGAAGAGCACATAATTTTAAATGCATGTAACTTCAGTAACTCGTTTGTATAATCATTCATATATTGTTATGGTAACTTTAGTATCCATCAGAGTAAAATTTACAGACCTTGAGACACCGTCCTTTGTCTTATTGATAACCATGCACTAGCTAGCTTTTTCAATATGCATAATCGAAGTAATGTAACCGTGAATAAATGTAACTATTTCCTTTAAATTCAATTGTTTCTAGGTACTACTACATTCACAATACCCTATAACATCCCTTATTGCTCAAATCAATTATAACACCAAGTATTGTTAAACTCATATCGAGTAAAACGAGTATATCATATCATTCATATATTCTTTAAATAAAATATATAATCTAGTCGATCACATAGACTCACATTTAACACTTCTCCTCGCACTATTTTATAAAAACGACCTAGATTCCGACTGGAATAAGTATCATTTCGCTGATGATTATGCTGTAGAAATCTGTGGAGTATGGATGGTTTGCTGGTCAGGGAATTCTTCTAAAAACTTGTGTCTTTCCTAACTACTTGGGTCCCTCTTATCATTGAGAATCCTTTATACGTCACTTTTTTGACATTAAAACTTTGGTCAACTCTCTCAATACACACATATTATTGATACACGTACGACCCTATATATATATATATATGCCCAATTAACATATAGTATAATATTATATACCATGCTATAATTTAAATTAAGGTGATTAATTTCGTATATGATGAACAAGAAAGTGATAGATATAGAGTTTGGAGCCACTATCTTCTAGAGTGGTTAGATCAAAGGGTTCGGTCAATGGCTTGATCTTAACTTACCCAGATTATGAATTACACTAATTACTAAACAAGTATTAACGTGCAACACAAATATCGAACGTAGGGCTATCAAACCATATTATATTTAAAATATTTGTTTTTTTCTGTGTGTGAACAGTAAGACCTTTACATGCAGCGTTCTTCATTTCTTTGAATTTTCTTACATGATTTGTCATTAAAGTTTAGAGATTAGCAATAGCGTTTAGAAAAATTCAATGTCCGTACAATTTCTTGGCAATAATGGTGCATATTAATTAATCAACAAAGACTTCAGACGTCAACAGGTTTCCCCGATAAGAAATTTCCCTACCCTTTCTGGGCAATAATAATATAATTGTATAGGATAATGGAGATAGCTCGAAACATTATCAACAATCTTGATATAATTGAAAAGAAAAATCAATCTCTCTTTGCTAATTTTAATTAGATGAAGAAGAGATGTAATTAAATTTCTAATTAACTAATATTATTAGCTGAATTACATGCATGGATGATGTGTATAACTAGCTTAATTAAGTTGGGTTAGAAGTTCAAAAATATTAATATTGAAGAGAGATTAATTAAAACATGCAACGTTATATCTAATATATATTGATGAGAAAAAGTGATCACATGTTTGATGTCTATGAGGGAGGAAGAATTATACATAAAATGGACGGACTAGAGGGAAGATATAATATACATTAAGGTGGTTGTATAGAATTAACTCCAAACCTGCAGTAGTCTCACACTCATGCTATATATCTAGAAATTAACTAAGCAATCTCATGAAACAAAGGGTCTTCAAGGAGGAGATCAGGCCAAACTGAAGTACTACAAGCATCCCCCAAAGTGTTGTACTTGATGGAAGCGTCGGTTAACGGAGGCGGCAGAGCCATGGAAAGAGGAGATTGTGTTGGTGTTGAAGATGGAGCAAGCTGCTGCCATGGAGAATTAGGTGAGTTTATTGAAACAGAAGGAAACTGGTCAGGAGCTTGAATTGTATCCTTGCTGTTTAGAGTTGTTTGAAAGCTACAAGGGACTTGTAAATTTGGCATATGAGAGAAAGTGATTGAGTTGTTGAGAGATTGAAGAGAGGCAGCTCCTATATCCAGTTGGGGTGATAAATTTAAACGGTTTGGGGAGTTGTTGTTATTATTCTCTTTGATTGAAGAAAGTGAGTTCAAAAGATTAATGGTGTCCATATCAAAAGCAGAAGTTTGGCTTGTCGGAACTGAACCAGATGAGGGTTGAAGGAGGCATTGTAAGTACTGCAATTTACTCATTTCTGCTTGTAATCTCACAGCCTGCTCTTCCCAAGAGTGATTATCCATGAACTCCTTTAAGTTAGCCAAAGCTATAAGATGAGGCAAGCTCGAGAAGATATCGGTTCTTGGCCGGTGAGTCATTGGATCAAATCCCATCTGAATCAGTTTCTTCTTCAGATGAGTGTTCCAGAAGTTTTTGATCTCATTATCAGTCCTCCCTGGTAGGTGGCTCGCAATTGCTGACCATCTATTGAAGGAAAAGGAAAAAAAAAATAAGAAAACCAAAAAAAGTCTACAAGAAGCATACAATTGTTGAAGAAAGTAAATGTATAATTACTTGTTGCCAAGAATTGAATGAAGATTGAGGATTGTTTCTTCTTCTTCAGGCGAAAACTTCCCTCTCTTGATATCAGGCCTTAAATAATTAGTCCATCTCAATCTACAGCTCTTCCCACATCTGTTAAGACCTGAACATAAAAAAAAAAAAGGCTCGATTATAATCAGAGAATTGAAATATCATCAAATTAAAACAAAAGAATCAAATAAAAAATGGTAACCTGCAAGTTTGGGGAGGGCTCTCCAGCTTCCATGGCCTTGTTTTTGAATATATTTGACAAGTATTTGGTCTTCTTCAGGGGTCCAGGGACCTTTCTTGAGGCCACTCTCGTCACAACAAGGAGATCTACCCATGTTTAATCTTCAAACTCTGTTGAGTGTAGGAAAGATTTGTTTGCCTCCCTCAAATCCAACCACTAACTACAGCTTTCTATTTATATACAATCTATTGCAAATGTCCCCTGGTAAACCCTCAATGCAAGGAGACGTGCTGGCTTCCTATTTGCTAGCAGAAACACTGTACACTTTTTTTCTTATTGAATTATCAACTATGTCCCTTCTCTGTCCAAGACTCATTTATATTTTATTGTATATTAAAATGGTTTTTGACATTTGCATGTTCTTGAATATTAGTGAGTGGACCCTTAATTTGTGTATGTATGTTAGTGTCCCACAAACATATTGCAGCCAAACAGTCTCTCTTGAAGTTCCCATCTCTCTAAGATATCTACTTTCTCACACCATCGGTTAATCGAACATATACATTACATGAACATTATGAGTCAACAAAAATGTCACATTGGGGTAAATACTCTTTATATATGTACGGGGTGTTGACTAAGAATATAGATTATTAAAGCTCTAATTGTAAGAGATTATGGAGTCAAACTTTGATCATATTAAATTTGTAAGTTTGAGAATACTAAAAAGGATGTAAGAGGAAATACCACGTCGATAAATCATGGATATATAATCTATAATAGATTTTTTTTTTTTTTTTTTTAGTTAATGTATTATCTTATGTGACATTAACATATTGTCATTATTTTTATTACATCATTTTACCACTAATTTATACGTTGTATCACTTAAAATGAAAATTTTTAACTTATACAACAGATAAGTAATCAAGCAACGATGCTTAAATNGAATCAAACTTTGATCATATTAAATTTGTAAGTTTGAGAATACTAAAAAGGATGTAAGAGGAAATACCACGTCGATAAATCATGGATATATAATCTATAATAGATTTTTTTTTTTTTTTTTTTAGTTAATGTATTATCTTATGTGACATTAACATATTGTCATTATTTTTATTACATCATTTTACCACTAATTTATACGTTGTATCACTTAAAATGAAATTTTTTAACTTATACAACAGATAAGTAATCAAGCAACGATGCTTAAATAGAAAAGGCAAAAACATATGCATAATTAATTGGTTGATAAAATACCATAAATTGATTAATAATGATTTGTTTACAACTAAGTCATATAATCAGATAAAAATTGTATAAAATTTACTTTAAATGACTACTCTGTTATTTGTCTTTTGTTTGGTTGTATGATTTAATTGTATGACTCAATTATAAATATAATATTACTTTAAAATGAATTACGAATGAGCTTAAGTAATCAGTAATGATCGATGGAGGAAGAAAGAGGGGCAAGAATGGGAATGCAGAAATGAAGACTAATTATGGGTTCGTTTGGTTTATTATTTCATACCCTATTCTCAATCTCATTCTCAAATAACTGTTTGTTTCATTATTTAGGAAATATTATTACATTTTATTCAATTACTTTTAGACCCCTTAAGTTTATTAATTTAATTAAACACCCCCAAAAAGAAAGTTTAAAATTAAAAAAAAAACACTCCCACCCACCCATAGTTGTCAGATTTTGGCAACCACCGTCAGTAGTAGTCGAAATCTGTCACAACGACGTACAAACGATCGAAACTAACCGGTAATTTGCCGATCTGGCCTTTTGCGGCCATCGACGGCCAGATCTGGTCGTAGATCTGACATTTTTCGGCCAGATCGACTCACGACCAGTCAGATCCAACCGGTCTACGTCATAACGTTAGATTTCGATCAAATTCTGACGATGGTAACCGGAATCTAGCACTGTGGATAGATAGAGGTGTTTTTATTATTTTATAAAATTTTTATATATTGAGGTGTTTAGTTAAATTGGCAAACCTATAAGGTTTTTTTTTTTTTAAATTTTAAATTTTACCTTATAATAATTGTCTTACTCAACTATCCAATACTATTTCTAAAATTTCATATAAAATAACCAACCAAACGCTAATATCTGATTTATGATTAATTAGATCATGTTCAAAGATGTATGCACAGGTTCAAAGTACGAGTCATCAACAGGGACAGTTGGCATATGATTGATGGCGGCCGTGGAGGAACCCATTCCATGCACGCAATATATATATATCGTCATTGATTGCATGGTTCCTCATTTTTATTTTTTACGTATAATTAATTTAATACATGCATCATGGGTCCTCGACTCCATCAAATATTATTTCATGCTACCTTTACTACTATCCCCACTCACTCTGAGGGTTTCGCTCTTCTCCTCTGCAGCCCTACTCCTCCACCAATCACATTCTCCCACATCATCCTTCTTCCATCTCCGATCAACCTTGTTGCTTCGTTTAAGGGAACCCCGACTGAAAATAGACAACTGGAACCTTTAAATTGCTGGCATACTTGTTGAAATAGTCGAACGTCGTTGCAGGAATTGAATTGTTCAACCTTTGTACTTTGAAAAGATCGATAAATATTAGTTTGCATTATCTCTCATTTTTAAAGAGACTGTTAGGTTTCATTATATATAAATTTTTTCATGTTATAAACAATCTGATTACAGCACATTTGTTCATCAAATTTTCTCGTCAAAACCTCAAGAAATTTCCAGATAGTCTAAAGATCGTTCTCCGTAGGTAAACATATAAAGAAGGTTATCTGATATATATCTAACATAAATATATAGATAAACCTACTCTTTCTGCATGATTCTAATATATGATCTTGATGAAGAGTAATCCATGCATATATGCACATATCTTAGTATGCAATTCAACACAGAGAATAATGATTTGACAGAAAGAAGGTGGGCTCGGAACAGCTATAGAATTGGTATACTAATAATAAAGGTGGTAGGAATAGGGTTTACATTGCCTGATATAATATAGGTAATGTGATCATTGTTCTTGTCTGGTTTGGATATTGATTAATTAAGTTCATGTATAATATATGATCATCTAATGCTAATTTTTAATGTGGGGTCTCTTTCCACGTGTGCTTGATGATTTTCCATTTAGACCAACCGCAATCCTCATAGGCCGTCTCTCTATGTCATAGAAACTAAAGAGAAAGAGATCAATAATTATAATCAGTCACATATACTAATGCATGTTTATGTCATAATTAACTTGTATAATTTTAATGTTTAAATCTATGCCTATATTTTAATGCTTCTGCATGCAACCAACAACACTGCAACAATATCAAGTGGTCGAAAATGGATGATATATATATAATTGATGCAAGATAATGTTTAATACCATGATCGATCATCACAAAAGGAAAGAAAGAAAGACAAAAATAAAGGAAGCACATGCATGCAGAAAGATGGGGACATGAAGAGATGTGACCCATTTGACCAAAGAGGGAGCTGGTTAGAGGCGAAGTTGGTGCAGCAAACGCTCTAATTTTTCAACCATCTTTTGAAACCTATAAGACAATAAATTAATTATTTATAAAATTTTATGCATAGTAATCTTGTTTAATCTTGAGAATGCGTCAATGGCATTCGTTGATACCCTCTCGTCCTTTCTTCATTGTCTTTTATCGCAATTCACACACTTCTTTGGATAGTTGAGTGAGACAGCTAGCTCTTTTTAATTTCCAGAGCAGAATCATCTCTGTTGTTTCTCATAATATGCATATTACAAGAAATTTTGCAACAGGTTTTTTATGGTAGACCAAATTAATGTAAAATGAAACAACATACTCAATAATACTGTTAATTTCACTGTTGCAGAAGCAAAATTCGATAAAAGATTAAAGATTTTTGCAAGGAATTGATACATGCACTTACTTATAACAACAAAATCCAAAAATACAAGAAAAAACATGAAAGGATTTCGTAAAAACATATGAGTGTGAACTGAAGAAATGAATGGCGAAATTGATGTAGAAGGGAGAGATGGAGGGTCCAATATGTCCACGGAAAAAGCCAGAAAATATCTTACATCAGAAGCAAACTATTTCAAACCTAAACTCATATTAAAATATGATCAACATCATAGGCCACACAGAGTCAAAGTAACAAGGACGAGCTCCATCTTCCATAGATATTTCTTTTGTTTCACTTACCTCATTAGTTGTCGGCAACAAGTTTTACTCTTAAAAGAAAAAGCAAATATTCTGTAATTTAGGTTTAGATAACCGTTATCACCTTGTTCACGAAAACTACAATAACCAGTGAAAATTAATATTCACAACAGAGATTGCTTCTTGAACTAGGGTTCCTTGTCGGGTGGACCACCATTGTTTTACATGAAAAAGAAGCAGGTTTAATATTAATTAAGAAAGAAAATTAGAGGGTAAGTGATGTCACTTAATTAATTAAAACCTTTTGTGATTAAGTTAATATAAAAAAATATCATAGTTGTAGTGTCAGCTAAACAACTGATTTGCTTGCTGTGTTAAGTTTCTACCCAATACATCTAAACTCGGACTTTCTATACTTCTCATGCCACGTATATTGATTCTCTATCTTTCCCTTTCCATGCAAACACAAATCAATTAATTAAACCCTTCTTCTTGGAATGATCGATTTTCAGCTACAATTTCCCATTATAAATTCGTTTAAAACCACACAACATCCGCAGTTTGTTAAAATCTAGTTTTCAATATGAAAAAATTTGACGATTCAGAAAACTGTTTCATTAAAATCTGTAAGAAAAAAAAAAGCTATTGATTTCAAATATATATCAAAGTGGGTTTCCAGTATGTTCTATGTATGTAATATGTGGCAGCTTAATAGGAGAGAAGTTATTGACCAAGAGGAGGATCATATATTGTATTAGTTAGAGGAAAATAATAAAATTAGGGTTCTTTGTCTGGGGATATAATTCTTCTCTTAGAGAAAATGACAGTTAATGGAGCTACGTAAGTACTTTCCATTAAACTAATACAAACAGTTAATTAAAATTTGTATTACGTCTAGTACACGTGAATAGTATTTGTGAGAGCATGCATCGATCAATCACCAACTTCTCCCTTTTTCAACTATTCATAATCCAACAACCCTAATTGAATTCAATTTAATTTTAATTTTAATTTTTAATGTGGGGTCTTTAAAATCTTATGCTAATTTCATCATATCTTTACTGTTTCAATGCTTATTACGTATTGAAAGGTTCACTTCCTCTCTTATATATATATATATATGCTCCTTCCAAATCGAAACCCTATTGGTCTTACTAGTTTATGGTTTCTTATGAAATGACACTAGGGACGTCGAGTCATTGATTCAATTTTAGTTGATATCTTCTCTGTTACTTCTCATTAATTTAATTTCCATTAATACTAGCATGGTATCTATAGTTTTTTCTCAACTGTTATGCCCAACAGTTTGGAATTACCAACATATTATATGAATTGATTTGTAAGCAAACAATGGTTAAACATAATCTTATAATTATGCTTTTCTGTGTCTTTATATTTTAAGCAATAATCATCAACTACTTTGAACCATCAGCAATGACATCAAATTCACAGCTGTGGACAGTGAAAGACTGATCACTTGATCGATCATCACCATAAAAACCAGAGAGAAATTAAACAACTACTTACTTAATTAAAATAACATTATTTTTTCTCAATTAGATGCTTATTGTATACACTAAACATTCATATATATGTACGTATAAACCTTAATTAAAAATTAATGAAAGCATCACATAGTACATAATATAGTTAGTCAAAGTCTAAAGCAGTAGTTAATTTTATTTTTATAAGGTAAAATTAACCTATAGTTTCATACGTACCATGGCATTGACGCGTATTCAACACACATAGAGAGAGTCATTTAATAATTGATGTTACAAACCAATTATTGTTGATACTTAATTACGTGATGGAGTCTCATAATTCCATTTGATAATCAATGTTTAGTTCTCAGCTAATCTTCCCTTAATTATTATTTAATCATCAATCTTACATAATCCCCTTATTCTCTTCGTGTGCAACTTAATTATTATATTTTCCCATTCTAAATTACATACAAGTGTCTTCCTGTCCAAATAATTAAGATTATAGATCCTATAATTAATTAAATCAGAAAATGCCTATATTTAGCAACAATTATATAGCTTATCTTCAGATACATCATACACACAACAATGAAATTTACACTTAAAATGATACTAAATATATATAATTATAACCAGTAAGACGTAAGCAACTTGTCATTATATAATATATAGTTTTTATTAATGTAGTGTATACGAAATAATTAACTAACCTAAGTATTTGTTAATTACATTAGATTAGATTGGAAAACCAATAGCCTTATAGGAATCTTTGTCTTGAGATGATACTTTAATTTGATTTTGTGTTTCAATTCTAAATATTAAAAAAGATTATTGTTAATTGTGAAATTAATTTTTAATCTTGTTAGAGATATACTATACCTTATTAAATTAGTTAGCTAAACTAACATCTATTATCAAACATGAAGAATATAATCACCTTTTTTTTTTTTTTTTCTCCAATTTATCTGTAACGCGATAAATATTTACTCTATTAAAGGTCGAATTTGCTCTATTTTGATCCTAAAACTAATTTATGAAAAATGAAATTTATCAATTTTTTTTATATATTCTTTATCTTCAAAAATGAGAATTAATTTGATTTATAATCACTATGTTAAGTAATTAATCTAATTATCTAATGTCTTGATAAGTATTTATCATAATCCTGACCAAACTTGGATCCACAGATTATAGGATTGTTTAGGGCCCATCAATCCGATCTTGGGACCCAAATTCAGTGTCTAGAAACCCAATCTCAACCTAACCCATTTGACCCTCTTTACCTGAAAACAGGCTTCATCAAACACCCTGGCCCAACTATAAAGCCCTAAAGTTACTCTTAATCAAGATATAAAGGTTACCGTTGAGGGACAAAGTTACCCTTATAGGACGTTTGGTTAGAGCCCTTGAAAGATTACTCCGGTGGTCTATCTTTTAATCTAATTATTATCTTATTTGGTTTAACAAGTAATAAAAGATTTTGGTATTCTTTTATTATTCAAATAATACGAAAGGTGATATAAAGGGTTATATGATTACTGACTCAAAGGTTGATATTTAAAAATTACTAGGATAATCCTATTTTTGTTCCAATTTTATACACATATGATATATGAGATAAATGGTGAATTTAAGTTTTGTATTGATTAAAGAGAATCTTAAATGAGACCATGTATTATCTTACAAGAGAATCATACTACAGTATCAAAGTAACATTACTTTGACCAAGATCTAAAGGTTATTTTTCAGAACAAAGTATTTTTCAGCAAAAGTATTTATCCAATCCAGTACTATAGTCTTGTTGATAATGCATAGAAGTGACTCATATATCTCTAGAGACCATAATGATTTAAAGAACCCAAAACAAAAATGTGTAACAATGGCAGCATGGAACTTGATGTTGAGAGATTCAAAAGATGACACAACAAGAAAAGTAAATAGAAGAGAAAGAAGCACATACCTTACATATATATTACACCAGTATTGATCTTGTAAATGTCAGTAAAGAGAAGACATAGTTTGAAGAAAAGCATGGAGAGAACACCAGTAAAGGAGATCGATGCTCAGAATTCAGAGGAGAATAATCTAGTCTTAGGATGAGAGAAGCATGAATCATACAGCTATATTCGTTTATATTAAATATGGCATATTATATATATATATAGCAGAGTTGTCGAGGAATCAATCTGGTCAAAAGTTTGAAAACTTGCTGCATGGAAAGCAGCAGGTTGCATGGTTGGAGTTGGAGTGGGAGTGGGAGAAAAAGTTTATTGGACATTATCTGAAAAAGTATAGTTCAGTCAATCTCACATGGTGGGAGTTGGTAAGATTAAGGATATTAATCATTGAGAAAGAGAGGGGCTTCCATGAGGACAAGCTCACATTCTTATCTTGTGCTCTCCATCTTCTCTTACATTACTTAGCACCATAACTATGATTTGAAAGAGTCTTGAGTTAGAGTATAATTCTATATTCATTCTTACTTTCGTTCAACAAAAACTCCTATGTTCATACAATAAAATTCAACAGATATGATATTTCTATAAAAATAGATCGGTGTGAACCCAGCAACTTTGATCTTTGACAATGAGGAGGGAGACCTCATTCACATTTGAAGAAAAGTCTTTAAGTTTATATATGATCATTGTATTAAATTGCTGAAGAGATCAAAAATTCAACATTCAGGTTTTTTTAATAGGGAGTTTGTTATGGTAAACTGGTAAGATTCCCATCTATTGTCAAAGGCTGACAAGGTCAAAGTTCCATCAAAAACTGGCTGTCTCAAGAACAGCTAAAATGACCTAATCTTAACAGGATTTCAGAAATTTTGAAAGATGAAAATGAAAAGTTGGTACTTCTGAAGTCCTAATCCTTTCCAGGACAGAGTGCAGTGCCTATAAAATAGTCTATGTTATGTTCTGCTACATATAAAACAGTCTGTGTTTTCTATCTTTTTCTTGAGACCACGTATAATATATTCCATGGATCATTGCATCTTTCCTATTTTTTGTCTACTAATAGATATATAAGAGTATGAAAAATCAAGCTTCTAAAATTCGGGTGAAGGTAAATAAAAGCTACTATAACAAAATCGAGATTTTAACTTTGTATCTCGACTAATGTAATGTAATAAAAGAGTTAACACAGCATTTGGGATCCAACTTTGTAACTGTAGTATTACTCGAACTAACCAAGCTCATATCATTAATGCAATTAATTTCATGTAAGAAAGAAGTCAGAAAAAGAGGAGGTATGCCGTGTCTCCTTGAGAGAAATGAGTAGTGTTAGGTAGTCCTATGAGGATCAAGAAGTTATGAGATGCTTTAATGGATCACCAGAAAAAAAGCAGCACAATGAAACAAGGTGCCCCTAACACACATCTCATCATTATGTTTGCTGTTTACAGGTGATAATAACTACTGTACTTCAACCAATTTATGAATTAATTTCAAGCTAAAATTGTCAGAGGTTAGATAGCCCAATATTTGACAGCCTGTTTATGGGGTTTTTTAAATCTCCCCACAAGTCCACATACAATAGCCTATAAGAAAAAGAAAAATGTGGACAGCTACAATGAAAAAAAGAGACCAAGAGCAAATTCAACTCTTTTTCAGCGTTACTAATAAACTGGAGTCACTGAAAGCTAGAGCCCTTTATTTCTAGCAAATTCAAGATCATTATCTCTTACTTACACTACCTCAAGCAATATCCATTTTACCTATTGATGCTTATCCATTTTACCTATTGGTGCTCATCCATTTCCTACAACGGATGTTAAGAATTATCCAAAAGGACCACAATGTCAACCCAGAACAACTGATTCAAGCCTTTCCCCAATTTGGCCAAGGTGATGGTCACTGTCACACCATAAAATATATCTAGATTGTTAGAGCTGAATCTTTAATTAAATGAGGTAATTGCTATATAACTGAAATGTGGATAGAATAATCAATTCCTCAAGCTTGTTGCCAGGGGAGATGATACAAAAATTATAAAAGGGAAAAGAGGAAGAAAACTACCAGCAACAGCACATTATACACAAAAATGGTCTGAAACAGAAAATGAGCAATGATCTAAAGACTCTTTTTCTTAAACAAAGAAAGTACATTATCTGCATAACATAATAGGCTCATGCAGATTTCTCAGCCTCTGCAGCTGCCTCTTCCTCTTGCAACTTCTTCAATGATGGAGGTGGTCTGACAACAATGCTTTTCTTCCATTGTCGATCAAGCTTTCTTGACAATCGCTTGTTAATTCCTTCCTCAATCTCTCTTTCACGTTTAACAGTAAGCATGCGAGCAATCTATTAACAGAAAAACACTTTAATTAGTGCGATAGTAAGATATCAAATCACTATAAAGAAGTCTTCACAACCTCATGTACACAGGCCAGGATTAAGCCCAACGTGCCAATAACAAGTGGACAGGAAGTAAAGAGTTTGGATAGTCAATTGTGACAGAACAACAATTTGATTCTACATAATAATATTTTTTACCTAATCCCATATCTCATCCCCTTTTGAATAAAGATTCAATGTACAAACATCAACAAAATACATAAATGCAATTGAGCTTGAGTACCCATAAAGTTACCAAATGAATACTTTAGGCAAACTATACTTGTAACATTCAAACTTGTAAGATTCGCAAACTATCTTTTATTGCAAGTTCACGTTCAATATTACAAACATGGAAGTTTCAATTAAATGATAAAAGAGCTTAATTCCAAGATTTGTACAAGCATACATTTCAAAAACACCAACTTTACACTCTTGATAATAAACCCGCAAACGAAAAATCCACTAAACATTCAAACAATTCAGTTTCATACACATTAAGTTGCCAAATGAAACATTGTAGAGGCAAATTATACTTGCAACATTAGACCACCAGAATTGTAACACTCACAAATCATATCTCATAGCAAGTTCACATTCAATGGAACAAGTATAACAATTTCAATTTACCTATTAAACCCAGAATCAGAACATTAAAAAATGCCATATGTACAAACTTCACACAATTAACAATAATCTCAGATATATATATATATATAAGTAAAAGAAAAAAACAACTTTACATGATAGCAACCAGAAGATAAAGCAAGAAAAGTCAGAAAAAGAATGAGAATTGAGAAACATTTCAACACAAACTTTACACAATTAACAACAATTCCATACATAAAAACTCTAAGTTTACACTGAAGCAGACGAAAACCAAATAAAAAGTCCTAAATGAGAGGGCACCTTTTCAAAAACAGAAACTTTACACAATTAACAACAATCCCATACATAAAAAAACTCAAATTTAATTCACCCACCCAAAAAACAAACAAAGTGAATTTTAAAAAATCTAGAGCAGTGAGTACCCTTTTGCGCATACGACGAAACTCACTAGACTTGAACTCATTTCGCGCCGATTTCTGGAGGCGGAGCATGAAAAGCTCACCCTTTAAATCAACAACCTCTTCATTGATTTCCTCAGTGGTTTTGGCTCTGATTTCTTTCAACTCTTCTTCTTTCTTCGCCATCAAAACCACTGATGATGAAGAAGTGCGAGTTTTAACGAAAGGAAGATGAATGGGGTTCGGTTGACGAAACTGGACGCCATTGAGGAAAGATTTGGGGAGTTGGGAAATGGGTTTGGGAGGAAAAGTCACGGAGAGGCTCAGCATCTTCTCAGCTTCGTTGAGGAGTAAGCTCTGTACTGTGGCTTCTTGTAGATAAGGCTGCCCTTTCTCGAAATTTTTTTGTTTTTAAAATTAGAGTAATCGACTTTTTCCCACATAAGGTTTGCCTTAATAACCATTTTCCACCCAAAAAGTTTCAAAATACTACTTTCTCATCCAAAGTTAATATTTCGATACTATCCAAAGTCAATTTCAATAACGAAAATTCTGTTATCACCATTTGAACCATCGATCTCCTCTCTATAAAACCTCTCTCATTCCGACACCTGATTTTTCACCAATACTGGTCATCACAAAACTAAAATTTCTTATTCTTAACTGATTTCAACGACAAATATTCAATTGGTTATCATTATTCGATCCACCAGCCTCTACACTACAGAAACCCTATTACCCTGGCTCTTGGTAACTCGTCAAATGTCGGTTGAGAAAGTGAAGTGCATTTTGGATATTAACAAAATATAAATGTTGGGTAGAAAAGTGGTATTTTGAAACTTTTTGGATGGAAAAGTTATTAAGACAACCTTGGGTGGGAGAAGTCCTTTACCCTTAAAATTATTTTAATATTTTTTATTTTGTGTTTACACTTTATTAATTTAAAATTGAACCATGCAAATTACTTTTTAAAATTCAATTACATTTATATCATAAAATTTCAAATCATAAATGATTATTGATTTGATAATATTATAATTTTGTCGATTTTCTAATTACAATATAGTAGAGTACATTCTTATTATTATATTCTAGAATGGGACGTTCAAATCTTACCTAAGGCGAATCCAACCTAGTTTTGGGTGGGTCATGGCCTATCCTCAAATTTTTTTTTTTAAATATAATATATACAATTTTTAGATTTTGGCCCACTTTAAAAAAATATAAATGGATAAAAATATTAATGTGTAATTAGTTTTTATTTTGGTCCATCCTAATAAAAATTTCTGAATCCACTACTGATCTTACCTTTACCTTTAAAGAAAACAGATAGGTGCCTATACAAATACAAAAGGGTCATTGACATATTAAAAAAAAAAAAAAAAAAAATTTAGCATATAAATTCAATGCCCATCTCATAAGGTTTTGGAAATAATTAAAAGTAGTATAGTATAGTATAGTAATGTAATGTCATTTCATATTATAACTAGCAATAAGGTCAACAATATGCATAAAAGTAGTGGGCACAAACGCCTTGTTTGCCATAAAACAATGCACAAACTTTAGACTTTTGCACTAATGCATGCATCATCACTTTGTTTAAATATACCCTTAGAAGATTCTTTATTTTATTAGTTAAAATGTATTTACGTTATGTTATATTCTTTTATATCCCGAACCCGAAACCTTAAATATATATTTGATTAATCAGAATGTGTTACACTATGGTAAATGATGTTATGATATTCTTAGGTAATATATTTGATGAAATACATGTAGTGTATGAGAGGTTTTCTTGAAATTTATTATAACGTTATAAAAATAGAAGAAAAAATTGTTATGTCTGAGAAAGTAGGGCTGACATCGAGCCTTGTCAGTAAGAGCGATCAGAGCTTGAAAAAGTTCTATAACCGCTCAAATACAGTCACGTCGCGTGATGACCCGAGCAGCATGCTCCTGCCAATGTAGTGGGTATGTGCTAGGTTGGTGAAAGGCTAGAAAAGGTCTACGTGTTCAATCCCTACACAAGTCGAGGAAATCACTCGGGCAAGTGAACAATGGGACGTAGGGAAAGATTTACACGACATCTGTCCCACTCACAGATTTAATAATCATTATCTTAATTCATCCCACTATAAATAGAGGGCTCCTCTTCCATTTGGGAGATTGGTTAATTTTACTCTGAAATAGTATATTTTCTCTTTCTCTCTCTCTCCCTTGTATTCTCTAAACTATAATTCAGTTCGCTAAACGCGACCTGACTTTATACATTAATACAATACCAGTGGACGTAAGATTTGCTTTTTGGGCTTTCAAACCACTTTAAACATTGTTCTTCATCCCTTATTCAGATAAATCCATCAATAATCACATGTAACTTCTAAGCTCACTCAGCATTTCTCACGTGTAAATAATTGGTGTCAAAATCGAGCATCAACAAAAATGAAATTCTTTTTTATAACAATAAAATAAATGTTGTAAAAAATAAAAGAGAAATAAATTTAATTAACCAAACTCTGAATTTACAGCTTGGCAGCACGTGACAAACGTGTGGCAAATAAAATAGGAGTGGCAATATAAGAAGTTACTTCCGTCGTTATGTATTTTATATTTTATTTTATTTAACCTCCTCTCCTCTCGTCTCCTCTCCTCTCCTCTCCTTTCAATTCTATTTATATTTATTCACTTCACACAACCAAAAAAAAAACAATTAAAAAAAAAAAAAAAAAAAAAAAAAAAAAAAAAAAAAAAAAAAAAGTTGGAAACTACAACCCTAAGCAATTCAATTCAATTCAGTCCAATTACATTCTCACTCGTTGTCTGTTTATGGAGAGCGAATCGCTGAGTTGAATCGGAGCGATACGAGATCTGACTTACTCTGTGCGCCGTCTAACTATGGGCGCTGCCGGCTCCAAACTCGAGAAGGCTCTCGGCGACCAGTTCCCCGAAGGCGAGCGTTACTTTGGCCTCGGAATTTTGGCAATACTTGTTTTGCAACAGCGTTTTGCAGGTCAGATTTTTATTAGTTTTGTGATTGAGTTCTTTTGTGGAGACATTTTAAATTAGGTTTAATTTGAGTTTTTGTTCATTCTTCATTGTGTTTGACCGAAACGGGTTTAGTTATTAGTTTAGATGTAGTTGATTTGGTGTTGTTATGTCGTTGTGGTGTGTTTTTTTTGTGATTAAAACGCTGTCATTTTTGGTAGTATTTATGCTCAAGTACTGGGTTACATTACTGAAATAAATTAAAAATAACAAGTGAAGAAGAATAAGCATTTTACAGTATGATTCGTTTTGGGTTTACTTCATGGTAATTATGAGAAATTTGACTGGCCTTTTCTGGATATTGTTTTATAAACAGTTTACTCACATTTGGAGTCAGTTGCTAGCAAATCCACGTCATGTTTTCCATATCGTAGTATCCATATTGGAAGAATTTGAATGTATTGTTTCTCTACTTAACATCTTTGAAATACCCTTATTGCTTTGCTTTCTAAGACATCGTTATTTTAAATTCATGATTTATTTGCCAGCAATTGCTATTTAGTTCCTCTTATTCTGTCAGTTTATAGTAGCATCCATTAGAGACAGTTTCGTGTACTTGTATGTATTCATATTGGAAGGGAGCTGAAAACTCAAAAGGTTTTGTTTTATGTACTGTTGCAAATGGCTAAGAGATTAGAGTCAGTTATTTCTTATGGGATAAAAATGAAAGCATTTTCCATTATAATGATTGAAAATGAGTGTTCTAAGGGTACGCTCACACTCCTCAAACCTTTCCTTTCTATGCAGGCACTTTATTTTGTGTTCCATTTCGGGAACAGTTGCTAGAGTACTACTCAAATAATAAAAACGTAGGGGATCTAGTGAAGAATCTCTTGACATGTTGGCAGACTATTTACGCAGGTAAAGTTCTAATAGTTCCTGTTAGTTACTTGGCACAGTTGTTTCGTTTTGCTCTTATACATACTACACCATAGAGTCAATCCATCCTTTTTAAGCGTAGGAATCTTGCATATTGAAGGTAGAAACTTTCCCTTCATTGTACAATAGGTTGTTTTTGCTGCAGTTGTTATGTAAATGACCAAACTTTATATTACCCATATGAGATGCTTTCTTAATTTTTTCCTTGTTTCTCATCTCAAGACATACAATAAGTTCTCAAATAAGTATTTATAGTGGTGGACTACTGAGTAATTATCCTCTTGATGCAATCAATGTGAGTTGATAGGGAACTAATTGAGGTTTCTTCTTAGGTGTCATGGAAAGTATGATTATTCTCATCAATCTAATTTATTTTCTTAATAATAATGTGAGTAATTTCACAGAAGGATCTAGCTCAGTCCACTATTAACAGTAGGTGTGTTGTCTGTTTGTGTAGATAAGTTTCAGAGAAGAAGAAACAGGTGTATTGCCCAAAGCGTTTTGTGCAGAGATTGAAGAAACAAAATGAGTCTTCCGCAGCTATATGCCCCAGGTACGTTTATCAGTAACTGATTATGAGCTATTGCTGGAAATGTTGAATTTATATGAGAAGGTAAAGATGTCGGAGATATAAAGGGCGTTGAAGCTAACAAAGAGGCCATGATAAGAATGATGAAAATGATACCAGTATTCATAAAACTTGTTTATCGTTTGAAGATCGATGTTACTAGTGCAACTACTTGGTGGCTAGGTTTGGTGACATCGGAGCTACACTACATTATAACGATGTATTTCTTTCCTAAGCTTCGGAATTACTTGAGATTTTCCCCAGATGATTATTAATATAGGGTGGATTTTTCTCTGCAAAGTATTGCTGCTGGTTAGAATGTTACTTCATGGGTTTCGTTGGTGTTCTACATATGTTTGCTGTTAGTGAAACAGGTAAAATGGCAAATCATACTTCCATGAAATTCGCTTTGGTAAATTCTGTAGTTGCAGATGCTGGCATCCACTGCGGAAGTTGTGAGCAAGCACTTTAGAGTAGCTGGAGCTTGTGGACTTGTTGAAACATTAGTCGGGAATTCTATTTTATACTGTAATGATGTCTTATATAGGACTTTAGTTATCAACCTTATTTTGCAAGCTTTTGATTGCTTTGGACAATTACTGGAAAACCAGTTGAGTTCTGAAGGTTCAGATCGCCACTTGAGAATGGTGACACATATCTGGAGAGCCTGAAGCATGTTTTGCATTGAAAAAATCAAAGTACAATATTTGGCTATTGCAAGACAGTATATTAGAACACCTTTTATCTCGTTCTTTGCCAGTTTTTGCTGCCTTTTATTTAGAGAGGACTGACAATTTGGTCATGTTTGCAAATTTGCTACCATCACCAGTTAGGCTCAAGGAAATGCCCCTAAATTATGTATTGCAACAAGTAATGAAGTATAAGGTGGATGTTCGTTTTCCTCCTATTATTATGCATCCCTTGTCTTTGCCACATTGTATTATCGAAAAGCTTGAAATTTATTTTTTAGTAATTTAAAGATCAGAGAAAGGAATAAAATATTACTTCCTTCATTTCCCCTTCTGTTTGTAGGATGTCATGAATTTGAATTTCTTGCTGAATGAACGTGTGACATACTGGAGAAAGAGGCTCAAGCTGCAAAAAGTGATCCGGAAACTCATCACCACCGGAAAAGATTGCAAATGGGCCGAAGAATGGTCATGCAAATGGTGTTAGGAAAGAGCCGTTGGTTACCGGGTGCACAAAAATTTTCAGGTGATATTTCTTGTCCATTTCATGTATCTTTGTTCATCATTTTTTGCTTTAATTAGTTAACAGGATAGTACAATGCTGGAATAATATCATTTAGCTCTTATTTTCTTAAATACATTTGCTATAAATGTTACTGGGGGTGTATTTCTACGGTGGAAGCTCATGAGGTCCTTAAAAAAAATATTGCTGTTTCATTAAAACAAAAAAGTGTGCGTGTAATGCTTTATAAATTGTTATATTTGCCACCTGTACAAGAATCATGATTTTTTTTTAACAATCAGGGATACTTACTAATGAGACAAGGTGCTGCGGTGTGAGACGGTGACAGTAGAGATGAAACTTTTTTGACTTGAGTTGATATAGAACAAAACAGTTCAATAACAAGCTGTTTGAAAAATTTTGCTCCACAGAAACTTTGAATGCAGAGGACCAATTTTTCTGTGACAAGTGTTGCAGGTTTGTGATTCATACTAAATTCTTAATTACTGTTGCCTCAGTTGATATTTCATGCATCATACTTTATGGTATTATTTATTGTTTACTTGTTCTAACTAATTGGATCTGGTTTTCTGCTAAAAAATTACTCCGTTCTATAATTGGAATGAACCTGCTCCCTTTGGAATTCTAATTTGCTTGTTGACCTAAACAACATTCATTAGACATGGAAATTTCCTTTCTTGTCGTCTGTTGTCTTTAGGTTTTATTGGTAACAAAATAGAGACTAATCATTTTATATGAATTTCTGCACCCGATCCAAGTTATCTAAAGTTGTGTTTCAACGCCGCCATCGAAAGATCTCTGACTATCTAATTATAGGGGGAAGAGGTGGCACTGCGGTTGTCTTTGACAGGGTTGGAACTTTTTCCATTCAATAACATAGTGAATCTGTTTTTCATTATCTTGCAGCTTGCAAGAAGCGCAGAAGAGGATGAAGATAAAGAAGCCTCCTCATATCCTGGTCATCCATCTAAAGCGGTTTAAATACATCGAGCAGCTTGGGCGATACAAGAAGTTATCATACCGGGTCGTCTTTCCACTTGAACTTAAGCTTAGCAACACAATGGAGGATTCAGATATCGAGTATTCACTATTTGCTGTAGTAGTCCATGTTGGGAGTGGGCCAAACCATGGGCATTATGTCAGTCTTGTGAAAAGCCATAACCACTGGTTGTTTTTTGATGACGAAAACGTGGAGATGATCGACGAGTCAGCCGTGCAAACATTTTTTGGGTCGGCACAGGAATATTCAAGTAATACAGATCATGGGTACATCTTGTTCTATGAGAGCATCAGTGCTAGTAGCAAGAGTTGAGTAGAGGAGATGGAGAGGAGAGGAAGGGCTTTGGTTTTATTACAATCATTAGTTACTTTTTAATCATTCGGACTGAGATTTTTCGTTTTACTGTCAATGTCTATTAATTTTCTTTTGTTTTTTTTCAACCTGTGAGAAGAGCTATGAATGAGAGGGAGAGATGGAAATGGAAATGGAAATGGGTTGTGAAAAATGTATACTTAGGATGTACAGTGGATGGTGGTGGAAGCACACTTCTGTCCTTTTGTTTTTGGTTTAACAATAAGAGGGAAAAAAAGAGCAGCACAGTGTATATGGTGTGTGAGATTATCACAGAGACAGTTTGTATTCTTGCTGTTTGAGAATGTTAATTTAACACTAGAAAATTGCAATTTGCTCAACTCACTCACTACTACTATAAAGATGGTTCCTACTTGCTAGTATTTAGATTTTGCATTGATTAAATTCAACATGCTGAAGTTTTCTATTTTTATAGATAAAATTGGATCATCACGTTGTTCCCATTGTTAATTGACGGATTTAGCTATTGTAACACAAAATTTTGATTATTATTTATTAATAAAATACAATTCATGGTCTACACATGAATTGATAATGATGTTGCAGTAATCTATAAGATAGATACTGAGTAATTTACATTTAAGGTGTGTTTGATTCAGGAAATGTTTTATTGTTGAAAATATAAGATTATCAGTAAGATAAATTACTTTTAAAAATTATGGGGGAATGTTATATCAAAATGTTTAGTTATATTAGAGGGTATAAATAATTAAGATGTTTGATTGAGAAGAATACAATATGAAGCTTATTTTATTGCCCTTCTTTTTTAATATCATTATAATAATAATATTATTATTATTTTTTAAACAAATTACTTGTAACCCTCTATATTTGAGAATTTAGCTAAAACCCCAAACAACAAAGTTTAAATTTTAATAAAATACCCCCAACCACCCAAGACCATTGTCGGCCACCACCATCGGATGCTGGCGGCAGTCACCGAAATAGTGCCCGATTAGCGAGATTTGGCTAGCTGTGCATCGTTTTGGTTGCTTTCGACTAGATCAAAGGCCGAAAATAGCTAGATCGCAGTGGATCTAACCGGAAATAGTCAAATCCACGCCAATCTAGCTGTTTCTAACTAGATTGAAGGCCAAAAACAATCAAATCGTCATGGATTTGGCCAAAAACGGCCACAAATAGCTAGATCTGTTTTAGTTGTTTTCAGCCAGATCCATGACGATTTGGCGGTTTTCGGCCTTCGATATGGCAAAAAACAATCAAATCGGCACACAACTGGCCAGATCTCGTTAGTCATACATTGATCTAGCGACTATTGCTAATAGTCGACGATGGTTGCTGACAGTCAATGGTGGTTTTTGGTAGTTAGGGGTATTTTATTTAACTTTTAAACTTTTTGTGGCTAGGGTGTTTTAGCTAAATTCTCAAATATAAGGGATTTGGGTAATTGTTATTTGGTAGACATCTGAGAGCTTAAATCCAAAATGACTTTTATTTAAGGGCAAATTTGGTATAAAAAAAATGATAACCTTAGTTAAAAAAGATTAACACCCTTGGATTAGGTAATCTGATAACCCTTAAAATGACTAGCAGTATTCATTATTGGGAATGAAATATTCACGTAATCTTATATTGCTGTCAAACCAAACAAAGGAATGTTTGGAATCAAAGATAGATGACAAGAGTTACCTGCCCATAGCCCTAACCAAACACAGCCTCAATGTTAAAGGTTATTATTAATGATACAAGTCATACCATGTCTAAGACAGACAGCTGATTTTGATACAATTCCTAACTCACACTTCAGCTGTGAAGGAATAATCAGATTAATTGAGAAGTTACAACTTTTACCAATGGATATTAATACTATCTTTTTTTTTTTACAAGATTACGGAGTGAACCCACATTTTATCTCACTCAAGCAGTGTGCATGAAAGTGTCATCATCTAATAATGCTTCAATATCTATCAGGTCATTGTCGAAATCTGCTGAAACTTCTGAATTGTTGAGAGCTTTATCCTGCATTAAGAAGAAATAAACATGTTTAATGAAACATGAACTGGGTCGTATTAGATATTGTAATTTGAATATAATGATCAAAGTATTGAGCTCCTTAAGTTGCCATGTGATTAACATAAAGAAGACAAAAGTAAATAAGGCTTGAGAAATCTAAAAATCCGTATTTGTATGTTAAACTATAATGTGGAATTCATACTCTAATGTTTAATTTTTACCATTGTCTTTATAGTAGCGAGACTCATTTGGGAACAGAAAACCTAAACAATTCTACCGGACTTTAATCCGGTCCTTGCATCATCAATCATGTATTTTCCAGGCCTCAAGGCCATTAATCTCCAAAATCCTTTTCATGAAAGAGTGCAAGAGGATACTGTGTAGGTGCATATATATATATAGTTAACTAGAGAGAGTTCAGTTACCTTTGTTTCTTGGATCTCATTGACAACATTCAGCAGTCTACTGTATTGATCTCTTGCCTCAGGATACTGAACCATGGACTTCACTCTGGCAAGTGCCTTTTGCAACCTTTCTTCTTTCTGCTTTCTGCCTTCTCTCAGAAAATCATAATCATCCTCCTTCGTGGAAGTATCTATCATGCTGGAACTCTCTGTAAGTGCTTCCGACTTAAATCCACGCAAACCACTTCCCTTTCGTCTCCAACGCAAGATAATCTTCTCCACAATTCCTACTGACCAAATTATCTTCTTATAGTTTTTCCTTACCTGGTGACCTCTAACATGTGCCTATCACACAAAAAGGCATTAGATAAGACTTCACAAATTTGACATTAAATAAAAAAAATGAGCTTGCAGTATAGATTTAAAGAGAAGATAAATGCCTAGAAGAACAAGAGCCAGGAAACCATGAGAACTGGAAATGCACCTGAATTTTGACAATTTGCCGCCGAATTGTCAAGAAATCTTTCCTACCCTTCCAACTACGAAATTTATTTTGTATTCTTACTGCAGCAGCATGCACTGGTTCGTCATGACGTCCTGCCTTGTGAGACTTAACTGCAACAAGTGAAAGAGCACGTTCATCTGAAATTCCAAATGCATCTTCCCCATACTCTTTCAACTGCTTTTTCTGAAAGGACTGCACTCGAAACACTTGATGAATACGAGCAGCTGCTTGAGTCGCTTTACAGACTGCAGCTAATGAGTCCTTCATTGACAATCCATATCGTAAGTCCTCATCAGTCATAGGAGCAGGACTTCGATGAGAAACTGTACGAACTGCATTAGCTCCACTAAATTCTGAAGCTTTGCCATCCTTTTGTTCAATTGTAATAGATGAAAGGCGGGAACTCAAATCAGATAAATCAGATTCTGCAAGATAACCGGCAATTCCTTTGTGTCCAATGGCAGAAGCCAAGTCGGCAGGTGTTTGGCCTGAAGGATACGTGGGAGTTGGATCAGACAGTGCTCCAGCAGCTGCACCAAGAGAGATGAGAGAAGCAACTGTACGCTCTCTGGTATTTAAAAAAAAAAAAAATTCTTGTAAGAAGATACTGAAAAGAAAATAAAGTAGTTCATAAAATGATACTAAAAAGGTACAAGAGAAATTATTCTAAGAACTAATTCTTAGTTTCTTCTTTAAGGACATTGTATGATATATAAATATGACAAATGTTTCTAATAGCTTTACTGATACAATAATGCTAGACATATAAAGAGATTTACAAAGATTTATTATATAAAGTGATGTGGCAGGAAATGAATGGAAGAGTGAATACAAAAAGTCAAAACTCATCATATTCACTCTTCTATTCATCTCTTATTATATCATTTTGTACACGAAATCTTTGTAAATTTCTTTGTACGTCTAGCATTACCCAATATGGTGTCTTCTACAATGAAAGGCAGGCCAGGAAGAAGTAAAACATATAGGAAGAAATTACTAGAGGCAAATTCAAAAGAAACAAGAAAGAAAATATTTAACGGTGTTCACCTGCCACAATATGCCGCCCAATGAAGTGCTGTCCATCCATTTACATCACGGAAGTTGATATTTACACCTGCAAAAACTGTGGGTTCTAGGGCCCAATCATAGCCAAGAGCAGCTGCAAAATGTAGCACACCTTGGCCATCTTGATCTAAAACACTAGGGCCTTTTCCACCTTCAGCTACCTTCTGCAAGAGCCATACATGCAACTTTTCCTTCAGAAGCTTCTGCAGAAGCTTCTCTTTAGCCTTTTCTAATGAAAATTTCTCCTCTGAAGTAAGTTTTAACATCTCGTCCCAATCATCATTGTCCTCTTTCAGCAATGAACTAATTTTACTGCTCAATTCAGATAATTCATTTAGTTTGCTAGGATCATAATTTGGAGTACTGATGGAATTTAGACACAATAACTTTCCAAATCGCATATGGAGACTTTCACTTGTGATGTTACCACTATTATCAGCAAGATCCACATCATGGACATTGCTTTCTCGATATTCAAATTCTCGCAGTTCACTACATGCTAACCTATTAGAACATGTAACATAAAATGGAACCCTCCCTGCCTTCTGTGCAGGAGTGTGGCATCGAAGTACACCACCAGCTAAAATTTCTGCTGGAACTTCCACTTCCCCAAACATACATGACCAATTATTATTTTCTGCCTCCTGTTGACTCATCAAGAATCTTCCCGTGATCAGGACCTGAATAAGGAGTACAAAAATAAAGAAAAATTAACTTCAAGTTAGAAAAACGTATTTACTAAATAGTAAATATTCTTGAGCAGGGAAGTTCAGCTTTAAATCAAGCACTCAGTCAATACTCCGTCCATGTTAAATAACTGAGACATCTAATACTTAGTTGACAATATTATGCATACTGAATAATAAACAGAAATATACCTTGATTTGTGAACCCACATATGCCCAGTTGGGTGAAAAATCGATAATACTGTACAGCTGGTCTTGGGAGACGGAAGGACCCAGCATATAGGTATCCAAGCGTACTTGAGGGGGAATACTGGAATCCTCAACTCCATTTTCATTTTCAATTGTGTCCCAGTAAGCCTCAGAACTGGACTGCATATGCACCTCTTTTACATCTCCAAGTTCTTTACTCATCCAGCGATTGAAACTATCAGTCTTCTTCAGACCTTCCTCATTTAGAGAACCATCAAACAAATGCTGTTTTAAAGAAGAGGAAAAGAGGGATTTCCCCTGTATGGTTGAATTACTCTCTGGATCTGATTGCAGAAGATGTTCACGATCAGTGTTTGACAGCTCTATTTGGTGATCATTCTCATTATCTTGCTCATGAGACCTTGATGTACTATTATGTGCTGAGTCTGAAGCCAACTTCTGATCCATGGGCCACTTGGATGAAAGTGAAGAATCATTCTCAGATGTCTGTTCACAAGACAAATTAAAGTCTGAACAAGATGAATTAAAGAGAACATGAATTCTACAATCTGTAGTATGATGCATCATGACACTGGTATATATGTAAAAGGTTTAAGGATTATTTAAAGATGATTTTAAACCAACAATTGCTTATACGATCAGAATTAATGACTTGAACAAACCAACATAACCACCAATCAGTATCACACTACAGTAAAGTTATTATATCACCATAAAAAAGGAAAACATAACACAACCATGGTTAATTTTTAGGTAAGCAAGCCTCGGGGCACTTTACTTCATAAAGTTAAAAAGAAAGAGATGACCGAGTAACCTGAGACAAATTATACACAAGAATAATACTATACTTACAAAGAAATTTTACAAAGATCTCCATACAAAGTGATGTGACAAAAAATGAATGAAAGAGTGAAACAAAAAGTCAAACTCATTAAATTCATTATTCCATTCATTTTTGTGCCACCTCACTTTGTATGGAAATCTTTGTAAAATTTCTTATGAGTATAATATTATGTATGCCAAATGCCAAAGCACCAATGTACACACATTATATTTATAACTCATAAAACTCATCAAACTAAAGTTCTAAAGCGATAAATAAATGAAAGTCGTAACAATCCTGAAACATCAAATCTAGAAACATAATTGATATTACTAGCATGCTACACAATTTAAGATGAGAAAACAGATATTTATTCTCTGTCCTCAAAACTTGTTACATCTTAAATATCCAGCTATCCCTTTCCTGAGCCGGATTAACTTTATCCCAAAGAATCTATTATCTCAACGTCAATGGGAAGTCAGAATAGCAATTCCAAAACAGAATCCTAAAGATGAATGACTTTTACAAACTAAAATAAGGTTTCAAAACTAAAGAAATAACCAAATTGCAAACTTCTATTCAAAACCTCAATTTCACTTGTAACTTGTATGAACCAATGCTTCCTAGAATTTCTACCCACATTGAAATAATAGTAAAAAATAAAATAAATAAAAAAGTTTGAAATTCATATATAAGCATTTGATGCCAATAATATAAACCTACAAGGTACATCATATTCTACCTGCCAATCCCGGGCCGGTAGGTGACTCCCAAACTCATGCCGTTCACCAAAGCTCCAATTTTTGGTAAGAAGCGTCCCAGTAACTCATGCTCTGTTTAGGAATGTTTCCCACGGTGTCAGGTTGACTTGATGAAAATGGTGGGGGAAAAGCAATGATCCAACACTAGAAGACAATTTCCAAGACACCTCCCATGACTGGAAGTCAAGGTTTTTCCGGAGGTCATATGTAATCCAGCATCACTACTATCCTTACTTTTATCTGCTTGAATAAGTGAACTAAAATCTGTCCCCGGAACATCTGAGAACTTTCCTTGGTAATCATCTATTAACAACAGAGTATTACAATAAATTGGCATGTTAATCAGAACATAATCTTACTAAAATAAAAAGAGAAAACTGATTTACTTTAAATGGTGCAGGGTAATAAGGATCTGAGAATCCAGCATCTATATTCTCAATACAGGGCTGTAAGTCAAGAGAAGAATGGAATCTGGAACTTGCTTGGTTATTATACACTGCATCAAGTATCATCTTTTGTATGATATGAAAAATTTTGAAGGCATTTCACTAAAAAAGCAATCTTACAGAAGACATTCATGATCAATTGAGAGCTAAGACATAAAAAGCTTCAAGAAATGCACCTGATTCAGCATCCTCATATTCTGATGCCTGAGCACTGGTCAGGCTCGTCGTATCTGTAGTTTGTGAAGGTAAATTGTAATGTTGGGATGGAACTGAAACTAGAACCTCTATCTCAGAACTGGGTATAGTTTCTTCAATTTCTTGGGAATAAGGAGTAGTTCTTCAGTCACTTTTAATGCGGTTATATTTGTCTATTTCCTGATTATTCAAGAAAAAAAAAAGAGAAAAAAATAAGACTTGAAATATAAGATAAGTCAATAAGATGCAGTAATAATGCCATTGAACAAGATAATTATGGGCAATCTGCAGGATCATGAGTGCACAGTTTCAAAATATGTCTACTGACAATAATATCATCATTAATGCTTCATTACACTGCCTCTACAGGAAGGTTCATGTATGTTACATATTGGAAGTGTATGGCTGATATTTCTTTTCCATTCACCATCCACTAGGTAAAAAAGCAATAGTATAAGTATCAACTAAATGTATTCTATAGCACCCATAAAAAAAATTTAAGAACATTGAATCCACAGTTAGACTTCAAGTCAAAAATCGCGAACATTACTTTGAAATTCTATAATTCCCAGATTAAACACCTTGCAGTCTGCAATTTAAAAGACCTTGCCCACTAATTAAAAAAAAATATCACGACAATCCTCATACCTTTGAAGTTTAACCAATATGGTCTTTACAGAAACTATTAATAGTTAAGTTTTTACTTGATAAAACTGAATGAACACACATACACTCATGTAAAGATATATGGACAAAGCCTAACCTTTACTTCTCGATAGTGGACAAGAACTATGGTGAGAGTTCCCTCATAGCATCATTCAGTAAGAAAAAGAACAAGCCCAACAAAACGTCCTTGAAAAAAAAATAGGAAAATAAAATTATTTCAGCATGCAATTCAAAATCATAAAAAGTCACAGCCAAAGATGAAAACATTACTGAGTTAAGAAACACCTCTGCAGAAAGAGATAGAAAGATCTATAACAACAGAAATTGCACGCACTTACCCGTTGTGTGTGTGTGGAGAGAGAGAATTTAAGCACATGATCTTAAAAAAAATCTGAAATTTCTAGCATATTTTAAGTACAAAGCAATTTATGATGTTCATAAAACTTTCATTTCTTTTGGCTATGAGTACACAACACAGCAGTAGTTAGTTGAAGACAATCCTAATGAAATTTCAAAGACTTACTCTTCCAGCATCCAGTAACTGCGTCTTTGGAAACTTTCATTTTCTCTCCATGGGCATAATAGCAATGCAACACATCAATACTTCCCGCCTGAAAGAATTACACTTGTTCGGTATTAGTTATTTGAAAGCACAATGAAAATTTTCATAACAAATCTTATGCCAGCATTTACACCACGATAAACTTACCTGCACAAAATCTGCATAATTAAAGATTTCCTTAATTTAGAGTGGAGCTTACAAACTTAAAAAAAATCAATCAATTAATTGGTACTCACCTGAGCCTCATGAGCCTCCTTTACTGTCTCCCACCTTTTTCTTCCTCCATTATGGCCATTTTTTCTAAAGTATCTAAGCACCTTCCGATCAAAAAGAAATAGTGAACCACCTGAACCGAAATGTAAGTCAAGCCAGATGTTTTTGTGCAAAACATAAAATACTAGTTAGATGATCAAAGAGTGCCCTGCATTAGCGTGATGATGCCTTACAAGCTGATAAAACAAAATACACTACTGTTACTTAGTTACCATCTTCACAGTTTAAGTAAACCTTTTGATATTTAAAATAATGAGTTTCATTGGGCACCTAATTGATACTAACAAAGGAAGGAAATGATATATGAATTCAAATACATAGTTCTACTACTGTTGAAGACATAAATAGTTGAAAATTCAAACAACTAACAATAGAATTCAACAAAGATACAAAGCTTAAAAGACAGCCTAAGAGATCACAAACCAACTACTTTTCAATTTAGAGTGAATTTGAATACAATAACTTTCAAGCAAATTAAAACACCTAAAGGGTACAAATTAAACCATAGAACAGCTCCAATGACAAAATATTCAATTCAAGTTCATACAGTATCAAACAAATCACAACCCTCAAACATGAGCTGCAACAGTAAAAACGAAAGATTTGATTTTTATACTTCGGAAGTTCAAAGCACTAAAACCCCACTTGATCAAAGTGACTAAACGACAAAACCAAAAACCCAAAAAGCTTATTAACACTTTATGATACGATTCATCAAAAAAAAAACACATACTTGCAGGCAAGTTAGGAGGCTCAGGAGCAATACGAAACTTATTATAATTTTTAGGATTTCACAAATTTCAGCTGGACGAAGCCATCGATGTTGAGCTTCTATAAGCAATTGCTCGATATCTGCAACCCCATCAATTCACTATCAGCTTAATGAAAATTAAACCCCAATCACTAACTCAAATCAATCAAAAGAGTGAGTTAAGTTCGATTATTACCGAGTTGATTACCAGAGGCGACCCGTCTGGTCTCTGCCATTGAAGATTTGGTGATGATCGAAAAGCAAGCAACTTTTAGTCGAGCGTCATGATTATCAGAAAGTGAGGGGTGATTTCAAGTGATTAAATAAATGAATGAGGAGGATAGGAGTAATATTGAAATAAAATTTAGATTTTGGGGGAAATTAGAAAATAATAAGATAAGGGCGCCGCCAAAGTTGAATTGACAAACTGGTCACTATTTTTATTCTTTGACTTGCAGTCAACTTTATGAATATTATAATTTACCTTTTTTTTTTCTTTTTTTTGGATCATGAGTTAATAATCTTACTATAATTATTTTTAGTTAATCTTGTAATTAAAACAGGTTCAATGGCCTGCAAATTCAATTGAAGCTAAGAAAACTTGTTTGATAAACAGAGCGGCAGTCAAATTCCAAAGATTACAAGGCTTATTGTTACAGACCAGGCACTCATTTTTTACAGGACATTGTTGAGAAACTTTCTAGACTGGTTTTGCTTTACTAGTTCTTAAGCATCACCGTCTTTGCCATCCAAATTAAGAGATGAAAGATGGGAAGTCAATCAGATTCCACAAGATGATTAACAATTTCTTTTTGCTTCAATGGCAGAAGCCAATTTCTGATGCCAGGGCCCCCATGTATGCAACTTCTCCTTCACCTCTAGCTTCTTGCCCCAATCATCATTGCCTTCTCTGATCAATGAACGGACTTGGAGCTGCCGAAGTAGACGGCTGATGCATAAAGATCAAAAGATGATCAGAATCAGAAGAAGAATCAGAGTCAGATACATCCGTTGTAGGTTCAGAACTGGATATTCCAATGGTTGGATAGATAATGGGGAGATTTTGTAAAGGAGTTGTCTCGGTGTAAGCATAATATCTGAGATATTCTGTGATAGGATTAGTCGAGGGTTCCATCATATGTTGGGCAGGTGGATACAGATCCGGAATAGGAGTGGGCTTCGTAACTGGGGGTGGAGAATTCTGAGTTTTTGGTTTCCAGTGGGGGGTTTGTCGTGGTTGCAATTTCTTCGCATATTCTTCTGGAGTAAAGAGTGAGGCAGAAGCACCTCGTGGCAAATCAGAAGAACTTCGAAGGGACTGAGTGGCCTTAGGCAGACTTAGGATAGAAGGACCAGAAGTCTGTTGATACCAAGGGATATTTTCAGAAAAAGTACGCTCAGTCAGGGTACGCTCTAGGGATTTTAGTTGAATCTTTAAATGCTTGATTTCTTTTTCTTGCCGAGAGAAGTCTTGGCGAAGAGAGATCAAAGAGAGGATCTCTTGGTGAAGGTCTTGAATTTTCTGTCGAAGCTCATCCAGAAGAGATCGTAGTTGCAAAGAACTCCGAGCTGAGGCATTTTGAGAGTGCCAGTTAAGGACAGTTTCTGCTTGGGCAGGTTCTATTTTTCCAGGATTATAATTTGGAGTGGCAACAGAGTTAAGACTCAACTTCCCAAATCGCATATGGAGACTTTCACTTGGAGGAACTCGGCAAGGAAGAACAGTATCAGCAATAATTTCTGGTTGATTCTTAAGGAATCTTTCCATGATAAAGACCTGACAAATAAGTTAATCGCATTTACTAATGTTACTTTAACAGAGAAGTAGTGCTTTATTTTAATTATTCAATCACTTTCCTGGCTATATTGAATGCAAAATTGAAGCATACCTTTTGAGCAGGAATGCTGGAATCATCAATCCCATTGGCATTTTCAGTTACATCTCCAAGTTCTGTACTCAGACCTCCATCAGTTTGAGATCCAACTGAAATATGCTCCTCAATGGTCAAATTACTATCTGTTTCTAATTCTGAGAAATATTCATATTCTGAGTCTGAAAGCTGAGTCTGATGATCATTTTCTGATTCTGAGAGATATTCATATTCTGAGTCTGAAAGCTGAGTCTGATGATCATTTTCCGATTCTGAGAAATATTCATATTCTGAGTCTGAAAGCTGAGTCTGATGATCATTTTCCTTATCGGAATGTGCACATGAAGGCATACCGACACTAATTATAGAAAAGATCCCAGGAAGGCTTGAAGTAAGATTTTCTTCTGAGTCTGGGTATAACTGATGATCCATGGGCCAATTAGATGAATGTGCAAAATCAATTTCAGCTATCTGTTTACAAGGAAATTTAGTCTGAACAAAATTAAATAATTATCTAGGGTAAAAGAAACTACAAATTAGACTTCAGGATTGAAGTAAAGCATTACTTCAGGATTGAAGTAAAGCTTTACTTCAACCATATACATAAATATAGTATTACCTCAACTTCTGAGCCCATATATTTCCAATTTGGTGAGAAAGCAATCATGCTACTGAGCTGATCTTGGGAGGATGATGAAGCCAGCATCTCCAAGTCTCTACTGCTCAGGCCGTTGGAACTTTCAGTTTTCTTCAAATCTTCCTCCATTAAAAGCTGCGTCTGAACATCATTTTGTTTGTTCGGATGTGCAAAGGAAGGCTCAAGGGCATTAAGTAAATCAAAACGATCAATATCTTGGCAACAAAAGCTTGAAGTAAGATCATGCGCCGAGTCTGAATACAACTTCTGTTCCGTATGGTGCTTGGATAAACATGAAGAATCCTTTTTAGATGTCTGTTTACAATGAAAATTAAAGTCTGAATAAAAATAAAACAAAAAAGAAGCCATAAATTTGATAATAGCATTTACTGAATATTACTGCATAAGGGAAATAAAGCTTCACTCTGACGACTTAGTTAATTTTCCTGCCTGTATCGAATAATTGAGATGCCTAGAGCTTAGTTGACATATTGCAATCAAAATGGAATTTAAATTTTAGTATACCTCAGTTTCTGAGCCCACACATGCCCCATTTGCTGTGAAATCAATAATGTCACATAGCTGGTCTTCAGAGAGAGAAGAACTCGGCATAGAGGTATCCACATGCGGTTGAGTGGGAATGCTAGAACCATCAATCCTATTCTCAGTTTCAACTGTCTTTCTGTGGGCTGCGGAACTGAACTGCACATCAGCACCTGCCAGTTTCTCACTCATCAAGCCATAGGAACTTTCAATCTTCCTCAAACCCTCCTCCGGTAGTGAACAGTCTAATAAATGTTGTTTTATAGCTCCAGAGTAGATGGATTTCCCCTCCACATTCGAAATTGTTTCTGAATCTGATTGCAAAATGTGTGCATGTTCTGCATCTGGAAGCTGTCTCTGAACATCATTTTGATTTTGTGGATGTGCACAGGAAGGGACAAAGGAGTCAAGTAAATCAACACAATCGGTGTCTTGCTCACAAAACTTTGAAGTAGGACCTTGTTCCAAGTCTGAATATGTGAGACATTTGCTAGCAGAATCATTTTCAAATGTCTGTCGACAAGAAAATTTACAGTCTGAAAAAAATAATTGAACTTAAGTAGATAAGGAAATGTGATGCATAAGCACTAGATTTCTCAGTCCTAACAGCTTCCAAAGTATCTATTCTTGTCACCGTGATGTAATTACAAATAAAAATCCCAAAAGATACTGTCGAAGGAACTTCGTAAATTTTTTTTTTTCTATTTTAAATCGTTTCTACCAACCTTGAAACTACTGCAAAAGAAGAGCTATATGATATTGTACCTGCCACTCCCCAAGGAACTGTAGGTGACTCCCTAACTCCTGTGATTCACCAAAGCTTTTGGCAACAAGCTGTTCCGAAATTCCATGTCTTTGTTCAGGAATGTTTCCTATGGTTTCTGTTTGAGCTGAAGAAAATGATGGGTGAGAAGGCAGAGATCCAACATCGAGATCACATTTTTCCATGATATATTCCGGTGGCTGGAAGTTAGGAACTTCCTGGGGCTGGCACAAAAAGATAACATAGCATAAAACCATCAAATGTGCATTCTCAAGCATCAGTAGATTCTGTCTAAGCCATACAAGACAAGCAAGGAAAAGGCTTAGCTGCCAATTCGTAAATTTTTTAGCAACCTGGAAAAATATAAGATGCTGAGAGATAAATTATAGTGGACTACAGGTTTCTGAGCTCAGTAATATAAAGATGGCATAATGAGCCCAGAATATAAAGAGATAATTGTCTCTAACCTTTACATCTCGGTAGTGGACAAGAACTATGTTTGAAAGCTCCCTGCAATAGTCAATAGTGTCAATTAAATAAGATACCACAGCAGAATTTTGCAGAAACTGAACATTTCTGATTCCGCAACTGGCTTATGGGATGTTCATATCCATTTTGGTAGTAATACTAATTACACAACCCCATGGCATCTCAGTTAGAGCACAAATAGCTAGCTCTGCCTATGAAATCAACAAATATAAGCTTCATTGACCAGCAGAGCTGCTAATGTAATGTAAGAGAACTCCTGCAAACAAAATCTCAGAGACTTACTCTTGAAGCATCCAATAACTTCGTCTTTGAAAGTTTTTATTGTCTTCTCCATGGGCGTAGTAGCATTGCAACTCATTTACACTCCCAACCTGAAAGATTAAACCCCAGAACAAAGCTTCATCTTTTGAATATATTTTGAATAAAATAAGTAATTTGGTTACTCACCCTCAGTTTTTCAATGATGCCATTACAAGCTGATAAAACAAATACACTAAATGTTACTTAGTTACCATCTTCACAGTTTAAGTACAACCTTTTGATATTAAAATAATGAGTTTCATGGGCACTAATTGTACAACAAAGGAAGGAAATGGATATATGAATTCATCAATAGTTCTACTACTGTTGAAGACATAAATAGTTGAAAATTCAAACAACTAACAATAGAATTCAATCAAAGATACAAAGCTTAAAAGACAGCCTAAGAGATACAAACCAACTACTTTCAATTAGAGTGAATTTGAATACAAAACTTTCAAGCAAATTAAAACACCTAAAGGGTACAAATTAAACCATTAGAACAGCTCCAATGACAAAATATTCAATTCAAGTTCATACAGTATCAAACAAATCACAACCCTCCAAACATGAAGCTGCAACAGTAAAAACGAAAGATTTGATTTTTATACTTCTGAAGTTCAAAGCACAAAACCCCACTGATCAAAGTGAATAAACGACAAAACAAAAACCCAAAAATATTAAACACTTGTATGAAACGATTCAATCAAAAAAAGCAAAACACATCTTGCAGGCAAGTTAGGAGGCTCAGGAGCAATACGAAACTTATTATAATTTTTAGGATTTCACAAATTTCAGCTGGACGAAGCCATCGATGTTGAGCTTCTATAAGCAATTGCTCGAATCTGCAACCCCATCAATTCACTAATCAGCTTAATGAAAGTTAACACCAATTCACTAACTCAAATCAATCAAAAGAGTGAGTTAAAGTTCGATATTACCGAGTTGATTGCCAGGAGCGACCCGTTCTGGTCTCTGCCATTGAAGATTTGGTGATGATCGAAAAGCAAGCAACTTTAGTCGAGCGCATGATTATCAGAAAGTGAGGGGTGATTTAAGTGATTAAATGAAATGAATGAGGGAGGATAGGGTAATATTGAATAAAATTTAGATTTTGGGGGGAAATTAGAAATAAATAAAGATAAGGAGCGCGCAAAGTTGTATTAGACAAACTGGTCACCGATTTTTTATTCTTTGACTTGCAGTCAACTTTATGAATATTATAATTTACCTTTTTTTTTTTTTTTTGGGATCATGATTTAATAATCTTACTATAATTATATTTAGTTAATCTTGTAATTAAAACAGGTTCAATGGCCTGCAAATTCAATTGAAGCTAAGAAAACTTGTTTGATAAACAGAGCGGCAGTCAAATTACCAGAAGATATACAAGGCTTTATGTTACAGACCAGGCACTCATTTTTACAGGACATTGTTGAGAAACTTTCTAGACTGGTTTTGCTTTACTAGTTCTTAAGCATCACGCGCTTTGCCATCCAAATTAAGAGATGAAAGGTGGGAAGTCAAGTCAGATTCCACAAGATGATTAACATTTCTTTGGGTTCAATGGCAGAAGCCCATTTCTTAGCAAGAGCCATGTATGCAACTTCTCCTTCACCTCTAGCTTCTTGCCCCAATAATCATTGCCTTCTCTGATCAATGAACGGACTTGGAGCTGCCGAAGTAGACGGCTGATGCATAAAGATCAAAAGATGATCAGAATCAGAAGAAGAATCAGAGTCAGATACATCCGTTGTAGGTTCAGAACTGGATATTCCAATGGTGGGATAGAAATGGGGAGATTTTGTAAAGGAGTTGTCTCGGTGTAAGCATATATCGAGATTCTGTGATAGGATTAGTCGAGGGTTCCATCATTGTGGGCAGGGGATACAGATCAGGAATAGGAGTGGGCTTCGTAACTGGGGTGGAGAATTCTGAGTTTTTGGTTTCCAGTGGGGGGTTGTCGTGGTTGCAATTTCTTGCTATTCTTCTGGAGTAAAGAGTGAGGCAGAAGCACCTCGTGGCAAACAGAAGAATTCGAAGGACGAGGGTTAGCAGACTTAGATAGAAGGACCAGAAGTCTGTTGATACCAAGGGTATTTTCAGAAAAAGTACGCTCAGTCGGGTACGCTCTAGGGATTTTAGTTGAATCTTTAAATGCTTGATTTCTTTTTCTTGCCGAGAGAAGTCTTGGCGAAGAGAGATCAAAGAGAGGATCTTTGGTGAAGGTCTTGATTTCTGTCGAAGCTCATCCAGAAGAGATCGTAGTTGCAAAGAATCCGAGCTGAGGCATTTTGAGAGTGCCAGTTAAGGACAGTTCTGCTTGGGCAGGTTCTATTTTCAGGATTATAATTTGGAGTGGCAACAGAGTTAAGACTCAACTTCCAAATCGCATATGGAGACTTTCACTTGGAGAATCGGCAAGGAAGAACAGTATCAGCAATAATCTGGTTGATTCTAAGGAACTTCTCATGATAAAGACCTGACAAATAAGTTAATCGCATTTACTAATGGTTACTTTAACAGAGAAGTAGTGCTTATTTTAATATTCATCACTTTCCTGGCTATATTGAATGCAAAATTGAAGCATACCTTTTGAGCAGGAATGTGGAATCCAAATCCCGTTGTCATTTCAGTTACATCTCCAAGTTCTGTACTCAGACCTCCATCAGTTTGAGATCCAACTGAAATATGCCAATGTGTCAAATTACTATCTGTTTCTAATTCTGAGAAATATTCATATTCGAGTCTGAAAACTGAGTCTGATGATCATTTTCTGATTCTGAGAGTATTCATATTCTGAGTCTGAAAGCTGAGTCTGATGATCTTTTCCGATTCTGAGAAATATTCATATTCTGAGTCTGAAAGCTGAGTCTGATGATCATTTTCCTATCGGAATGTGCACATGAAGGCATACCACTAATTATAGAAAAAGCCCAGGAAGGCTTGAAGTAGATTTTCTTCTGAGTGGTATATGAAATAATAGTAAAAAATAAAAATAAATAAATAAAGTTTGAAATTCATATATAAGCATTTGATGCCAATAATATAAACCTACAAGGTATATCATATTCTACCTGCCAATCCTGGGCCGGTAGGTGACTCCCAAACTCATGCCGTTCACCAAAGCTCCAATTTTTGGTAAGAAGCTGTCCCAGTAATTCATGCTCTTGTTTAGGAATGTTTCCCACGGTGTCAGGTTGACTTGATGAAAATGGTGGGGGAAAAGGCAATGATCCAACACTAGAAGGACAATTTTCCAAGACATCCTCCCATGACTGGAAGTCAAGGTTTTTCCGGAGGTCATATGTTAATCCAGCATCACTACTGTCCTTACTTTTATCTGCTTGAATAAGTGAACTAAAATCTGTCCCCGGAACATCTGAGAACTTTCCTTGGTAATCATCTATTAACAAAAGAGTATTACAATAAAATTGGCAAGTTAATCAGAACATAATCTTACTAAAATGAAAATGAGAAAACTGATTTACTTGTAAATGGTGCAGGGTAATAAGGATCTGAGAATCCAGCATCTATATTCTCAATTACAGGGTGCTGTAAGTCAAGAGAAGAATGGAATCTGGAACTTGCTTGGTTATTATACACTGCATCAAGTATCATCTTTTGTATGATTATGAAAAATTTTGAAGGCATTCATCATAAAAAAGCAATCTTACAGAAGACATTCATGATCAATTGAGAGCTAAGACATAAAAAGCTTCAAGAAATGCACCTGATTCAGCATCCTCATATTCTGATGCCTGAGCACTGGTCAGGCTTGTCGTATCTGTAGTTTGTGAAGGTAAATGGTAATTGTTGGGATGGAAACTGGAAGACATAGAACCTTCTATCTCAGAACTGGGTATAGTTTCTTCAATTTCTTGGGAATAAGGAGTAGTTTCTTCAGTCACTTTAATGCGGTTATAATTTGTCCTATTTCCCTGATTATTCAAGAAAAAAAAAAGTAGAAAAAAATAAGACTTGAAATATAAGATAAGTCAAATAAAGATGCAGTAATAATGCCATTGAACAAGACATATTATGGGACAATCTACAAGGATCATGAGTGCACAATTTCAAAATATGGCCTACTGACAATAATATCATCATTAATGCCTCGTTACACTGCCTCTACAGGAAGGTTCATGTATGTTACATATTGGAAGTGTATGGCTGATATTTCTTTTCCATTCACCATCCACTAGGTAAACAAGAAATAGTATAAGTATCAACTAAATGTATTCTATAGCACACATAAAAAAAATATTAAGAACATTGAATCCACAATGTTAGACTGCAAGTCAAAAATCACGAACATTACTTTGAAATTCTATAATTCCCAGATTAAACACCTTGCAGTCTGCAATTTAAAAGACCTTGCCCACTAATTAAAAAAAATATTCACGACAAATCCTCAATACTCTTGGAAGTTTAACCACTATGGTCTTTACAGAAACTATTAATACAGTTAAGTTTTTAACTTGTAGATAACTGAATGAACACACACACACTCGTGTAAAAGATGATAGGACAAAGCCTAACCTTTACTTCTCGATAGTGGACAAGAACTATATGTGAGAGTTCCCTGCATAGTCATCAATTCAGTAAGAAGAAAAAGAACAAGCCCAACAAAACGTCCTTGAAAAAAGAAATAGGAAAAAGTACAATTATTTCAAGCATGGAATTTCAAATCAATAAAAAGTCACAGCCAAAGATGAAAACATTACTGAGTTAAGAAACACCTCTGGCAGAAAGAGATAGAAAGATCTATAACAACAGAAATTGCACGCACTTACCCGTTGTGTGTGTGTGAGAGAGAGAGAATTTAAAGCACATGATCTTAAAAAAAATCTGAAATTTCTAGCATATTTTAAGTACAAAGCAATTTATGATGTTCATAAAACTTTCATTTCTTTTGGGCTATTGAGTACACAACACAGCAGTAGTTAGTTGAAGACAAATACTAATGAAATTTCAAAGACTTACTCTTCCAGCATCCAGTAACTGCGTCTTTGGAAACTTTCATTTTCTTCTCCATGGGCATAATAGCAATGCAACACATCAATACTTCCCGCCTGAAAGAATTTACACTTTTTCGGTATTAGTTATTTGAAAGCACAATGAAAATTTTCATAAACAAATCTTATGCCAGCATGTACACCACAAGATAAACTTACCTGCACAAAATCTGCATAATTAAAGATTTCCTTAATTTAGAGTGGAGCTTACAAACTTAAAAAAATCAATCAATTAATTTGGTACTCACCTTGAGCCTCTCATGAGCCTCCTTTACTGTCTTCCCATCCTTTTTCTTCCTCCAGTTATGGCCATCTTTTCTAAAGTATCTAAGCACCTTCCGATCAAAAAGAAATAGTGAACCACCTGAAACCAGAAATGTAAGTCAAGCCAAGATGTTTTTGTGACCAAACATAAAATCCTAGTTAGATGATCGAAGAGTGCCCTGGCATTAGCGGTGATGATGCCTTACAAGCTGATAAAACAAAATACACTACATGTTACTTAGTTACCATCTTCACAGTTTAAGTACAACCTTTTGAGATTTAAAATAAGGAGTTTCATCGGGTACCTAATTGATACTAACAAAGGAAGGAAATGGATATATGAATTCAAATACAATAGTTCTACTACTGTTGAAGACATAAATAGTTGAAAATTCAAACAACTAACAATAGAATTCAATCAAAGATACAAAGCTTAAAAGACAGCCTAAGAGATCACAAACCAACTACTTTTCAATTTATAGTGAATTTGAATACAATAACTTTCAAGCAAATTAAAACACCTAAAGGGTACAAATTAAACCATTAGAACAGCTCCAATGACAAAATATTCAATTCAAGTTCATACAGTATCAAACAAATCACAACCCTCCAAACATGAAGCTGCAACAGTAAAAACGAAAGATTTGATTTTTATACTTCTGAAGTTCAAAGCACTAAAACCCCACTTGATCAAAGTGACTAAACGACAAAACCAAAAACCCAAAAAGCTTATTAACACTTGTATGATAACGATTCAATCAAAAAAAGCAAAACACATACTTGCAGGCAAGTTAGGAGGCTCAGGAGCAATACGAAACTTATTATAATTTTTTAGGATTTCACAAATTTCAGCTGGACGAAGCCATCGATGTTGAGCTTCTATAAGCAATTGCTCGATATCTGCAACCCCATCAATTCACTAATCAGCTTAATGAAAAGTTAAACACCAATTCACTAACTCAAATCAATCAAAAGAGTGAGTTAAAGTTCGATTATTACCGAGTTGATTACCAAGAGCGACCCGTCTGGTCTCTGCCATTGAAGATTTGGTGATGATCGAAAAGCAAGCAACTTCTAGTCGAGCGTCATGATTATCAGAAAGTGAGGGGTGATTTGAAGTGATTAAATGAAATGAATGAGGTGAGGTTAGGGGTAATATTGAAATAAAATTAGATTTTGGGGGGAAATTAGAAATAAATAAAGATAAGGGAGCGCCGCCAAAGTTGAATTTCAGACAAACTGGTCACTGATTTTTTATTCTTTGACTTGCAGTCAACTTTATGAATATTATAATTTACCTTTTTTTTTTTTTTTTTTTTGGATCATGATTTAATTAATCTTACTATAATTATTATTTAGTTAATCTTGTAATTAAAACAGGTTCAATGGCCTCTGCAAATTCAATTGAAGCTAAGAAAACTTGTTGATAAACAGAGGGCAGTCAAATTACCAGAAGATATACAAGGCTTTATTGTTACAGACAGGCACTCTTTTTTACAGGACATTGTTGAGAAACTTCTAACTGGTTTTGCTTTACAGTTCTTAAGCATCACCGTCTTGCATCCAAATTAAGAGATGAAAGGTGGAAGTCAAGTCAGATTCCACAAGATGATTAACAATTTGCGTTCAATGGCGAAAGCCAATTTCTTATGCAAGAGACCATGTATGCAACTTCTTCTTCACTTAGCTTCTTGCCCAACATCATTGCCTTCTCTGATCAATGAACGGACTTGGAGCTGCCGAAGTAGACGGCTGATGCATTAAAGATCAAAGATGATCAGAATCAGAAGAAGAATCAGAGTCAGATACATCCGTTGTAGGTTCAGAATGGATATTCCAATGGTTGGATAGATAATGGGGAGATTGTAAAGGAGTTGTCTCGGTGTAAGCTAATATTGAGATATCTGTGATAGGATTAGTGAGGGTTCCATCATATGTTGGGCAGGTGGATACAGATCCGGAATAGGAGTGGGTTCGAACGGGGGTGGAGAATTCTGAGTTTTTGGTTTCCAGTGGGGGTTTGTCGTGGTTTGCAATTTCTTGCATATTCTTCTGGAGTAAAGAGTGAGGCAGAAGCACCTCGTGCCAAATCAATCAGGACTGAAGGATAGCAGAAGTCTGTTGATACCAAGGGTATTTTCAGAAAAAGTACGCTCAGTAGGGTACGCTCTAGGGATTTTAGTTGAATTTTAATGCTTGATTTCTTTTTCTTGCCGAGAGAAGTCTTGGCGAAGAGAGATCAAAGAGAGGATTCTTGGTGAAGGTCTTGAATTTTCTGTCGAAGCTCATCCAGAAGAGATCGTAGTTGCAAAGAATCCGAGCTGAGGCATTTTGAGAGTGCCAGTTAAGGACAGTTTCTGCTTGGGCAGGTTCTATTTTTCCAGGATTATATTTGGAGTGGCAAACAGAGTTAAGACTCAACTCCAATCGCATATGGAGACTTTCACTTGGAGGAACTCGGCAAGGAAGAACAGTACAGCATATTTCTGGTGATTCTTAAGGAATCTTTCCATGATAAAGACTGACAAATAAGTTAATCGCATTTACTAATGTTACTTTAACAGAGAAGTAGGCTTTATTTTAATTATTCAATCCTTTCCTGGCTATATGAATGCAAATTGACAATACCTTTTGAGAGGAAGCTGGAATCATCAATCCCGTTGTCACGTAGACATCTCCAAGTTCTTGACTCAGACCTCCATCAGTTTGAGATCCAACTGAAATATGCTCTCAATGGTCAAATTACTATCTGTTTCTAATTCTGAGGAATATTCATATTCTGAGTCTGAAAACGTGAGTCTGATGATCATTTTCTGATTCTGAGAGATATTCATTATTCTGAGTCTGAAAGCTGAGTCTGATGATCTTCCGATTCTGAGAAATATTCATATTCTGAGTCTGAAGCTGAGTCTGATGATCATTTTCCTTATCGGAATGGCACATGAAGGATACCACACTAATTATAGAAAAGATCCCAGGAAGGCTTGAAGTAAGATTTTCTTCTGAGTCTGGGTATAACTGATGATCCATGGGCCAATTAGATGAATGTGCAAAATCAATTTCAGCTATCTGTTTACAAGGAAATTTAGTCTGAACAAAATTAAATAATTATCTAGGGTAAAGAAACTACAAATTAGACTCAGGATGAAGTAAAGCATTACTTCAGGATTGAAGTAAAGCTTTACTTCAACCATATACATAAATATAGTATTACCTCAACTTCTGAGCCCATTATTTCCAATTTGGTGAGAAAAGCAATCATGCTACTGAGCTGATCTTGGGAGGATGATGAAGCCAGCATCTCCAAGTCTCTACTGCTCAGGCCGTTGGAACTTTCAGTTTTCTTCAAATCTTCCTCCATTAAAAGCTGCGTCTGAACATCTTTTGTTTGTTCGGATGTGCAAAGGAAGGCTCAAGGGCATTAAGTAAATCAAAACGATCAATATCTTGACAACAAAAAGCTTGAAGTAAGATCATGCGCGAGTCTGAATACAACTTCTGTTCGTATGGTGTTGGATAAACATGAAGAATCCTTTTTAGATGTCTGTTACAATGAAAATTAAAGTCTGAATAAAAATAAAACAAAAAAAAGCCATAAATTTGATAATGCATTACTGAATATTACTGCATAAGGGAAATAAGCTTCACTCTGACACCTTAGTTAATTTCCTGCCTGTATCGAATAATTGAGATGCCTAGAGCTTAGTTGACATATTGCAATCAAAATGGAATTTAAATTTTAGTATACCTCAGTTTCTGAGCCCACACAATGCCCCATTTGCGTGAAATCAATAATGTCACATAGCTGGTCTTCAGAGAGAGAAGAACTGGCATAGAGGTATCCACATGCGGTTGAGTGGGAATGCTAGAAACATCAATCCTATTCCAGTTTCAACTGTCTTTCTGTGGGCCGCGGAACTGAACTGCACATCAGCACCTGCCAGTTTCTCACTCATCAAGCCATAGGAACTTTCAATCTTCCTCAAACCTCTCCGGTAGTGAACAGTCTAATAAATGTTGTTTTATAGCTCCGAGTAGATGGATTTCCCTCCACATTCGAAATTGTTTTTGAATCTGATTGCAAAATGTGTGCATGTTCTGCATCTGGAAGCTGTCTCTGAACATCATTTTGATTTTGTGGATGTGCACAGGAAGGGACAAAGGAGTCAAGTAAACAACACAATCGGTGTCTTGCTCACAAAACTTTGAAGTAGACCTTGTTCCAAGTTGAATATGTGAGACATTGCTAGCAGAATCATTTTCAAATGTCTGTCGACAAGAAAATTTAAGTCTGAAAAAAAATTGAACTTAAGTAGATAAGAAATGTGATGCAAGCACTAGATTTCTCAGTCCTAACAGCTTCCAAAGTATCTATTCTTGTCACCGTGATGTAATTCAAATAAAAAATCCCAAAAGATACTGTCGAAGGAACTTCAGTAAATTTTTTTTTTTCTATTTTAAATCGTTTCTACCAACCTTGAAACATATGCAAAAGAAGAGCTACTATATAGTATCTGCCACTCCCCAAGGAACTGTAGGTGAATCCCTAAACTCGTGATCACCAAAGCTTTTGGCAACAAGCTGTTCCGAAATCCATGTCTTGTTCAGGAATGTTCCTATGGTTTCTGTTTGAGCTGAAGAAAATGATGGGTGAGAGGCAGAGATCAACATCGAGATATTTTTCCATGATATATTCGTGGCTGGAAGTTAGGAACTTCCTGGGGCGGCACAAAAAAGATAAATAGCATAAAACCATCAAATGTGCATTCTCAAGCATCAGTAGATTCTGTCTAAGCCATACAACAGACAAAGCAAGGAAAAGGCTTGCTGCAATTCGTAAATTTTTAGCAACATGGAAAAAAAAATAAGATGCTGAGAGATAAATTATAGTGGACTACAGGTTTTGAGCTCAGTAATATAAAGAGGGATAATGAGCCAGAATATAAAGAGATAATTGTCTCTAACCTTACATCTCGGTAGTGGACAAGAACTATGTTTGAAAGCTCCCTGCAATAGTCAATAGTGTCAATTAAATAAGATACCACAGCAGAATTTTGCAGAAACTGAACATTTCTGTTCCGAACAGGTTAGGGATGTTCATCCATTTTGGTAGTAATACTAATTACACAACCCCATGGCATCTCGTTAGAGCACAATAGCTAGCTCTGCCTATGAAATCAACAAATATAAGCTTCATTGACCAGCAGAGTGCTAATGTAATGTAAGAGAACTCCTGCAAACAAAATCTCGAGGACTACTCTTGAAGCATCCATAACTTCGTCTTTGAAAGTTTTATTGTCTTCTCCATGGGCGTAGTAGCATTGCAACTCATTTACCATCCCAACCTGAAAGATTAAACCCCAGAACAAAGCTTCATCTTTTGAATATATTTTGAATAAAATAAGTAATTTGGTTACTCACCCTCAGTTTTTCATGGATTCCTTCACTTTCTTCCATCTTTCTTCTTCCTCCACTTATGGCATCATTCTAAAGTATCTCAACACCTTCGATCAAAAAGAAAAATCGAACCACCTGAAATAAAAAATGTAAATCAAGATTCAAGCCAAGATTTGAGACAATAAATTTAAAAAAACTATTTGCTAAAACTCTCTCTTTCCATACTTGGCGGAAGGTTAGGAGGCTGATGATAAATACGAAATTTGTTATGGTTTCGAAGCAGTCGCAAATCAGGGGATGAAGCCCCGATGTTGCGCTTATAACAGTATCTGCTCAACATCTGCACTCACCATAAATTCAAATAACTCCATTTCCAGAAAGAATTAAAACTAATACAGAATGACTGAAGTTGTGTTACCTGGTTGAGCTCCAAGAGAAAAACGCCTAGTCCCCGCCATTAACAGTTTGTTTCTGTTAAAATTAAAGGTTAAGACCGTTATTTATAGGATAAAATTAGCTTACGTGTCCTTCACTGTTACACTACGCGTCCCCCCTGACATTGCAGGATTATTTACCCAGCTACTGTTTACTTTACTTTTAAAGACACTGTTTATTAACACGTTTTCAATCAAAAGTGTCAGCGTTGTAACTTTTGAATGTATATCCAATATTTTAAACAGAATATATCTTGATTTTTGAGCCTCCAGCTGTTCAGATGTTTGAGCTGTTGAATGGTTGAGACT